CCGTTCAGGTGCATCCATGTCGGGTCGAGAAAAAAGGTACTCGTAGGCTTTTCATCAATGCTCCAACAGGAGAAACGAGTTGTTATTCCCACGCCGGGATGCTGCGACCACTTTCGCTATTATCCAACCTTATCCGATGCATTGCGCGTTACATAATGCGTGTATGTTCTCGTCTCGTTGATATTTTGATCGCACTGGGTCACATCTTTTATCGTAAGTTCTCGTACTTCCCCCCTAAGTGTGGCAGAACGACATCGCGGTCGCACCTGCAAATTACTGCCGCAGCTGCTCTTTCGATGCACCTGTAATGTTCTCTCTAGGGGTCCTACAAATTAGATTCTATCTACCCGTCCTCCGTTGAAGAAGAAATTGGAAAGCTCATTGATGTTCCTTTTACATTTTGTCGAGTTATTTCTTAATTCCGCTGTATAGTTTTTATTATAAAATGCGCAGGAACGCGAAGAAAATTGTAAGATCGCTTGTTGCCACCGATGTTCTTTAACCCTTAAGGTGAAGTGAAACATCCTTCAAATCAGTCGATTCGAATACAACACTTTTTTTTAAGGATATTAGGCCAAACTGTCCAAAACTTTGACACATCACTCCTAAATCAGCTAAGAATTGTCCTGACACATTCAAAATTTGGATCTTTCAAAGGAATTTTTTAACTCAGTCCAGACCAGAACCAAAATGGCGTCGAGCTCTCATATTTTGATCAATATACAATTATCGAAGGCTCTGATATGAGAATCGAAAGGGTCAGGACAATTTTACGACAATTTAGAACACTCTGGTAATCGATAAACTCGCATTTGAATGGAATAAAGGCAAAAAAAATGTTGTATGCGCTTCTATGCCAAAACGATGGTAGTACGAGGTCTCGGAGTGAAAATTTAATTGACCTGGAAATCACAGATGGCGCAGGGGGTCCTTCCGCAGTCAATTAGGGCCCAGAAGCCATGAATCCAGAGGATTTCCAGAGTTTTACTTCGATTTCTTCATAATTATTGTACGAAAACGACAGGTGGAATATGCCATTTGGTACAATACACAATATAGTTCGATCTAGCTGTCAATATAAAAACGAACGTCGGCAACGTAGGCATTTAGAAAAACCGTCTTTATCGACGTTTATCAAGTTCCTCGACGTGTTTCACTTCACCTTAAACGGAAGTTTCATAATTTTCACCCAAAGTCAAGTAACCATAAATCTATACTTTGCACATGCTATTTAAAACGTTACCGTATTTTCGCTTAGGTAGTTACGATTACTAATGATCGGAAAGAAAAGAAAATATGAATCCGTTCTATGAATAGAGACATTTATATTTCTTGTATATATTTATGATATGATGACGTTGGGTCAAAAGTATCCAATTTCTGTTTAAGGGATAAAATGACTCGATGCGTTATGTCTAGTAAAATGTAAGTACATAACATCTCATCTTGATAAACGTCATTTGGGTTAATTCAATTCAAGTGAATGTTGTACTTCAGCCTTGTTTCTTAATTTTGTGTCGATCATGTTTCAATTCGACGTATTGCATGCATTGTTCTCGTCTTTAGATTTCAGGTCGACGTTGTCAAAAGCAAGGAGCCAGGTCCGTTTGACTGTGTTTTGTGAGAATTCCATTATTCACCAAGGAACGGTTATTTTTATGAAAAAGCCCACCCTTTTTCACTCGGTAGAAGGTCAAGTGCACGCGAGCCATTGCATGCTACATGCAACTGCAAGCCGCTCTCGATCGTCGCACACCTGTCCAAACACCTGACGTCAAGGTTCATTTCACCGCGGGAGGTCGCGCAGGTACGAGTCGACGTACTTCTTGGTATTCGCGAAAGTATGGCATATTCCTCCCTGTACCCTGTACAGTCTACTTCTCGCTGTCAAAAGTTCTTTGTCAAGCGGTTTCATCGTGAAGAAAATTAATTTTGACCACTTCAAAGATCGATGATAACTCTAAAATGAAAATTTGTAGTTAATGTAAAATTTAGAAATACCGATATACATATTTAAAACAGGATTGTTATATATAGATATTGAATATGTGAAGTAAGACCGCATAATTTAACGTTCATTGCAAACAGATAATCACTTAGAGTGCCGATGCACAATTTCGTGCGAAGTTGGGGTAATTGATGTTGATTTGACGTTACCGAGGTAGACCTTTCACCCAAGTCACTTTGCTGATAGTTTCAGAAGTTTTTAGAAGACGTTCTGCGTTCGTTGGAACCGACTTTCATAAATATCTCTAGCGACTTGGTCTCGAGACCGTGAGAGACTTCTAAAGTTCAACGCTTGAAAGTCTTCCCTCTTCGACGATGATACAGGTTTGCAACCGAATTCTAATTTTCATCTCCATGCCGAGGGTGGAAGCCCGTAGCGTATTTACAAGTCGAGCATAATCTACACTAAATTATTCAATTTCGTTGTCATCTTTTAAATCTCTTTTCAGCTATGATTTACCCCGGCGTGACAGGATCTATTAATTGATGACTGTCGATGCGTTATTAATGACACGTAACATATGTCGTTTTTACTTGTTCAGAAAACGCCCATAGATTGTGAAACTTCGATGGACAGAATCGTTTAATTACACGAAGACAGCGCAATAAACTCATTTCACGAAGGCATATGGATAGTACTCCGACGGAACTTACTGACTCATGTTGCAATAAATATCCGTTAATTGACTTTTCACTCAGAGAATTCACTACTAAATAGTAAGTGTAAATATTTTAAAGATATGGGAAACACATGTTATACTCGTTATCGGTGAAGTATTACTTATACGTGTTTTTAGAAGGTCCGTCACATACGGGTATATTAGTATTTTTCAAAAGTAAATGGTTTTCTATATGTTGAGTGATTCCTTCCTGTATGTTTCACGGGTGTACACTTGTGTCTACCGGGTTGCAGATGCTAGGTGCAGAGCACTTCGCACACGAATACATGTTTTGCTTATATGGAGTCCCAATCATCCTCATTGAAACGGATTGGAAAAAAATATATAAAACACAGTGCATTTAAAATATATTATAAATTATTACCCTAGTAGCACAAAATATTTGTTCTATATTTTCTATATATTTAACGAATATCGTACATTTTGTAAATATTTAGCAGACATTTGAAATATTTGCAAAACGTTTGCTTTAGAATATTATCCCTATAATATTTTTATAATATTAGCTCCATGTGTTTTCATAATATTTTTCTACCAGATATACAAAACATTTCGTTTCATTCTAATATAAATATTTTTTAAATATTATCTGATAAATACATTATAAACGTTTTAAAAATATTTAAAATCAAAATCACACGTTTTGCTTCCATAATGAAATAGCGGAACGAAAATATTACAAAAATTTCTTGTTTTTTTTATACCAAATGAAGTGTCCGATAATAGTCGTGAAGTAAAAGAAATGTATTTTTATTATATGTTCATAAATTAAAAAATATAATTTTATAAATTATCGAAACTAAATATGTCATTGAGATTTTCAACAAATATTTCAGACATCTTCAAATGAAATCTACAAGAAATCTTGAAAAATCTGTCGCTTGAGATATTTAGCAAAGATTACAAACAAATATTTAGAAATTATTCTATGCTACTAGGGTAGGATCCCAAAAACATAATAAATATGGATATTACAGCAGACGTAAAAACGTTAATTTAAAAACGGTTCATGATGTTGCATTCTGTATTTAGTTTATCCTCGAAGTACATTGCAGTTCTCATTGATATTTGTAATTTATTTCTCCCAGAGAGTTCATATCAGCGAATTTATTACTGGTCTTATCTCAGGACTCGTTAGCTGTTCCCAATATGCAATACGAAATAAATTATGACTAATATTTGAAATTATTTTAGATCCTAACATATTATCAATATAAAATCGCAAATTTATATCTAGATAGTATCTGTATAAGAAGAAATACAGAGTCTGTACCGTATACGATATTCATTGAATACGGGTCAAACTGAAACCCATAATCTTAGATCACTATCCTGGATCATAGCATATCAACAATACAAAATCGCTACTTTATATCTAGATAGTATGTGAATGGAAAGTGTATAGTCTGCACTGTATACGATATTCATAAAATGTAGGTCAAACTGAGACCGCTTTTTTAAATACATCCAATGGTAACAACTAACACGACGGTATGCATTTTCTACAGTAATCCATAAGGCTAATGTGGATGTGAAAAAAATAATAAATTGCGATGTACATCAACGCGTTAACAGTTGCTTACGGTCTGATTGGTATGTACACGCCGCAAAATTCATACGCCGTTATTCTTGAGTTCGTGACACAATAGAATAGCGGTTACACGAATGCATACAGACCTACATAATTATCGTTGAACTTCAATGTGCCACAATTCTCACTAGTTGTGCATCGACATCATGTTATTACCTTAAAATAGCGGTTTTCTATTTCCAACATTACACCCGCAAGTTACAAAATTTCTCATAATCTCATAATTTAACACTAAAACGACCGGCAGATTTTTTTTGTATAGAATGAGCCATTTGAAACAAGTCATTTCGACCCGTCTTGATAGTTCTAGTGTTAAATGAACTTCGGAGTTCCGAAGAATTTACTAACCGTAATTAATGCAACGCAACGTAATACATTGTTAAGATAAGACGTAATGTAGTACAAATAATTGTATTATGAAAATAAAAACATGGAAAAATTAACATAAAGATAGAACTGTGTAATAAAGTATGTATGCGCGATGTTATGCTACTCCCGCGAGTAAATATTAGTAACCCGTACCATGAATCATTTAAGTATGTATCTTGTTCGTTGCAGCAATATTTACAGCAATAACATACACTCAAACAGGGTCTAGTAAAAGTTTCTAAATATATATAGACATTTACGTTTCGACGTTGTCACTGTAGTACTATGTTTTTCGCCGGAAGATATAAGGCATTTTCCTTGAACTCCAGCAAAAAGTAAATTAGACTTTCCCTCTTCACGTTACTTAAGTGTCAAAAATCTATTCCATTCCTTCAATGATTTCGATCCTTGCACCTAGGATTCCACGTTTCTTTCTAAAGGGTAGGATTTGGGGTTTCAAATTACATTAAGTTGCGATTAGCCGTTAAATGCTATTGACATAACTTACCAAGTACCTCCAATACATTCAGGACTTCTGCAAGGGTTTTGTCCTGGTGGAGGAAGCCTTGGTGCTTGACTGGTGTTAGTCGGTTCATTTCCATAATAACATGAAACGTCACATCTGTATCGCGCAAAACGATTCCAGCAACCGGAACAATCGGGGCCCGACTGGAAAAATGATACGTATTAGAAAAACTTACACTAGGTCCAAAAAATAACTCCCGATGGGTTATTCACTCGGAAATTAGTGAAAACGATTTCCTTCTTTGAAAACCGATTGTCTTTGATTTCATATGATAAACAACAATGTGATTCGGTAATAAGTGCCACAGTTAAAATTATGGCAATGTTTTGGTGATTTTCAACGATTTCCAGCTGAATTCCAAGTGATTTCGAGCAATAAAATCTATGATTTCCTGAGTTAATACCCCCTCGATAATTCCCATTATATTATTTTACATTTTTCTACGTTATAGAAGTAACATAAACGCGAACTTAAACTTGATATTTGTATACCTGTCTCTGTTGCCAACAGGGCCACGCCATTGGTGGTATACATGCACCGCCAATTCCGAAATTGTACCCGTAAGAGACTTGCGGCACCAACTGAATTTGCGGCACCATTTGGATTTGCGGTACCATTTGAACCTGCGGCGTCATCATTGATCCAAAAAACGGATTGCAATTACAGTAAGCTGTACAAAATATATAATATGTTACATGTTAATATCTTTGTATGCAAAGTAATAATAGCTACATTTGTGAACCTACGATTATATGGCGAACAGGAACAATTATTTCTGGACGACCCTTCGTCTTCTGAATAAGATGGGTGAACGTTATTAATAATATTGTTAATGCCGATGTGTGTCGTGAAATTGGTGGCCCTCAAAACGCTATCCTTTTTCCCACCGTCGTTGTCATTGTTACAATCATTTGTTCTACATTCCTCGTATTGCGTGATAATCTGGTGAGTCTCTTTCGTCTTTCTCCAGCAATGTCTTTCACACTCTTCGATGCATTTCTGGCTCTGGCAATCGGAAACGCTGCAATTCCTGTGGCAGAATCCGTTATCCGTTCCTGGAAAATTGTAAAATTCGACAAACTTATGAATACATGTATTTCACCAAATCCCACAAAAATAAAAAAAATAATTTAAAACAGTAATTTCAAATGCTGATTAAGTCTGCATATTAATAAGCGAGTGCATCACCAAAATGGACATATCTACCAGGTACTCTAGTTTCAGGGTGGCCATGATGTCTCCTATTTCTTTTTAGGCACTTAATGTAGTTTCGATAGTCAGGATGACGACACTCCAGGAGCAACTTTTCGGTCTCCGGTGATGTTCCCTCCTCGGTCTCCTTTTGCGGCTCCACTTCAATCTCGGTAGAATTTAACCCGATTACGATAAGAAGAAGGTACGCTACACTCAACTTCGCGAGGAACATGGCGAAATGGCTCCGTGGAGGACCCAGATAGCGCATTTATATTACGAGATTGGGTAAATGACCTGCAACTCCCGGTACCTACTCCAGAGACATTTATCACCGATATATGTGGAGCGTTGTGCTCGGATAATATTTTAGCAGCTTAATTTTTCTGCCACACGTTTACATATGCCAAAGGGACAAATTTACACTGCTTATCGGACTTCACGTACGTAACCCACGACCGCTTAAATTGACCAAAAGAGATTACCCGCATAGTTGCTGGATTTGGATAAAAACGCCTAAAGTATCTTAGGGTAATAAGGCTCATCATAACTTAAAAGGTTTGTACGCGGAGGAAAAAAAAATCTGTTAAATTCACAGAAAAATCTGTAAAATGTACCGATTTTATCTGTTAGAATAGGGACAGCAGATTATTTCTGTTAGCGTTACAGTCAAGTTTCTGTTACTCGATTCTGTAAAGGTTACAGATAACTATCTGTAGAGATTACAAGAATATATTTGTAAGTGTAACGAATGAACATCCGTAAGTATTACGGATGAGTAACTGTAAAGAATACAACTTGATACATGTAAAAATAACAGAACAATATCTGTGGAGGTAACAGGAAATTTTTGTAAAGGTTGCAAATAACATTCTGTAATAGTTACAGATATACATCTGTATGGTGTCTCGATATTAAAATGTTAATATTAGAACCGCCCCAAATTCCTAAATAGTTCTTTTAATGGTTTATTCTCCCATATATCATAGCAGAAATCTAAAACTCCTTTACAATCAAGAATGAACATATTCAATCTTTTCGATAGTTATAAAGGAATTATGGATTTTCGTTTTGTCATCCTGGATACCTATAGAATATAAGTATACCATTAAAATAATTATCACGAATTTTGAGAAACTCCAATATAAACACTTTAATGTTACAGTTTTAAGGTTGCGTAACATTTGACATTGAATTTCTTGATTAATGAAATAGTCAACTTTTTTTAAAATTTAGTAAAGAATACTTCCCTTGGATTTTTAACGTATATAGGATCTTGTTAAGGTTTGTCAGGATGTTTGGAATTCCCTGAGAAACATGAAGTAATATTTTTTTAGAACTTCGTACAACGAGATTGACTTACCTGAATGTGAAGTTATATATCATGGACACAATAATTAATGCGAAAATACTAAAATTGAATAGGAACCGAGAGTTATTGGCAGCGAGGTTGATCGAGGCATCACGCGCGTCATTCAACAGAAGAAAGACATTTCCAATGCGCAACTGCTCGCATGCACCTTCGACTGTTTATGTGGATGCTTGCACATGATACTTCTACGGAAGAAATCTGTAGATTTAACAGATTAATCAGTAAAATCTTTAGATTTTATACATAATACTTCCCAATATCTTTAATCTTTCCGAAAACGATAACCTGAACAGAGTGAACCTGTAATATCAACAGATATATTTTGTTGCTCCTACTATTTTATAATGCTTCAAATGTCCCAGTTTTTTCCTTGTCAATATTAACAGCCATTTTCAGCTGCATTTACAGATGACTCTTACAGAAATGTTTCTGCTAACTGTACATGTGAGAAAGTAAAGTTAGCTCAATTAATTGTTTAATGGGCCAGCTTTTATCTTTACTGAGAACAGAAGTTTCCAACATATAGGCATCTGTAACTTTTAAGCTCTTATTTTCCTCCGTCTAATAGCTAAAATATAATAACGTATTTTGAAAAAGGAAAATAAGCAGGATGAACGTGAACAATGTTTTCTTCGGTTACAAACTATAAAACTAAAATACAGTACTAAGCAAAAACGTAATTTAAAAAAGTGTAGAATGATGCTACTGGGCTTTGTTACCCGCGCGTGTGGGTAATAAGGCCCACGAATATCGGTGGGAAGATCCAACAGACTAAGCACAATAATTTGCACAGTTAGGGCAAGTTATGTCATCAAGATCCTCGAATGTTATCCTCGGGCATTCTTCGTGAAGCCATTTCTTCACAGCGTACATTTCCGCATATCAACACTCTATTTTCTTAGTAAAGGGTGCAGTACCAGTTCTCGGTCTGCTTTGAGGTGCCACTTTTCTTTTTTCTTGAGGTATTTCGCTCAATTTTTGTTGTGATGTATTTACGACGATAGTCTCTTGTCCTTTTTGAAAAAGATTTTTAGTTGTGCTATGTTGCACTATGTCGGGCCTTATTACCCATTCGGTGCAATTGATATTTTTAGGTAATGATTTTTAAATATTTTCGACAAAATTAACATGACAGTACATAGAGAAAGGTATAAGCTACTATGTATTTTCTAGAAAGAGCAGTACTCCACAAAACTTTGTGACAAGAAGCTTGAACGCTGTAACTAACGGTGCAATTGATATTTTTAGGTAATGATTTTTAAGACGACAAATATTTTCGACAAAATTAACATGACAGTACGTAGAGAAAGGTATAAGCTACTATGTATTTTCTAGAAAGAGCAGTACTTCACAAAACTTTGTGACAAGAAGCTTGAACACTCTAACCAAATTTTATAAATTTCACTCGGGAATATTGCACTTCGACCCCAATTTACCATGGACACCTCCACAGCCCCGACAACACATAATAAACTCTTGATTGTGCTATTGACTGACAGAGGGAGCCACAAATTTGCCACTTTTATTCTATAATGTATGTGAGTGAAAAATAAGTGTGGGCTTTGTTACCCATATGGGTCTTATTTCCCTAAATAACTTAAGTTTAAGTTGGGTGCACAATGCTTTTAACGTTTTTATACATTTCCATATGTATGAAAACATGATAACTTATAAATGTGATTACAGTAGTATGTGCACATACAGAAAAATGTGGTTGAATGAAGACAATTTTTATTAGCTCAACCATGGAATATAGTTGTTATACGGACAACTACATGTTTGGTCGACGTAACAAAATTCTTTGGTTAATAACTTTTGATTGCTTCCGTAAAATATCGCAGTAGATAACAGTAAAAAATTACAATAATTTGATACATTTAACCATAATATTTGGCTAGACTAAAATATTTTCTAAAATTAACGAAACGATTTAATTAAAAAGCTTAAGCCGACCAAAACAAACGAATTTAGTCAAGTGAACTAAAATTCGGAACACTCAACCAAAACGTTTTCTAAAATTAACGAAACGATTTAATTAAAAAGCTTAAGCCGACCAAAACAAACGAATTTAGTCAAGTGAACTAAAATTCGGAACACTCAACCAAAACGTTTTCTAAAATGAACCGTATGCTGTCAATCAAACGATTATGTTTGATGAATGAAATTTCTTCTCTACGTGTATAATCTGAATTTGAACAAATATTGATAGGTCTAATACCGTTATGAATTTTGTCAAACGCTTGGAACCATTTAAGGATAAAATTACCTTAAAATTGCATCACCTACAAGACGGATATAATAAAGTTGTTTAACGTCGCATCGTTCCAACATGCATACAATGTTTCATCGTTAAATACACTTGGATGGGCAGATAGCACGTTTCAGAGCGTGATTAAATGCGCGTGCAATGTTTGGTGTATAAAGCCTCCACTACATTTTACGGACAGGGTCGAAGGATGAGCGGGCATGTTTACCTATGTAAAGGTGAGCAAAAGGAGTTATTTACGTCTCTTGCTGCTAGTTTGTGCACACAACATATCAAATGGTACCCCATAAAAAAGAACCTGTAAATAAAACCTCATACGTCATGTAATAAGTAATTTTATGTAGCAAAATGACATAGTATACCAAACATTGTATCGTCCACTTTTCGTGGGAAGCTTATAAGCTCCACATTTCATCGATTAGAAATGATCGAACTGGCCCACTTTTCCGCATAGTATCCGATTAGATATAACTTCTATGCCGTTTATTGGACTAGTTTCATTATCACGATACCAATACGGGGTTATTCATAAATTGATTACTCCTATTCGAGATAAACTGTAGAGAATAGAAATGTCACTATTTTTGCACTACAAGATGACAGAAATATCGAACAAAGGGTATGTGAATAAAGAATCGTACGTCCACTTTGTCGTCACATCCTTAACGTTATTACTAAAGACAAACCAAATTGTTCTTCTCTGCACATCAGATGTTCAGAGTTATGACAGCTAGACGCAAACGAATCGTGACGCTGCTTCCTACATATGAAAACAAGTGTTTATCCAGACGTTTGCTTTTAAAATCCGTTTCTTCTCGCACTTAGCAGAGTGTAATTGTAATACATAGTTGCAGTAGGAATTTCTGTGCGTCATTTCATTTCTTACTTCCGCGGTATTATCCCTTTCACTTGTGTGACTGTTAATCTTGACGACAGCTTTTCTCCTCAGTGCGTGATAGAGACGTTGAGCCTCCATAGAATGGAGTAAAGAAGGAAATGGACTGGCCTAACGACCGGATGTGCTAAGGTATAATCCGCGCACGTGCCATCACTTTTAGAAGCAGTTCTTTGTACTGGGATGTCTTTAGCGATCATCAAGATCCTTCCTGACTTTGGGTTCAAGCTCGTGCGGATTGAAAGTCCTATAATATTTCCACGACTTACAAATTTATTATTTTCTTTTGCTCACACTAGTAAACATAAATTTGCAATTCGCTTATTTGTCAATAAGTTCTTAAATTTCTTAATGTTCTCTTGAACGTTCAAGTAATTCGAATCTGAAAGAAGCTTTTAACGGTAAAATGTTACTTTTAGTATCACACCTGATTAAGATCATCATCTACCGAAAATAGAGATTGCACGTATACACGCTCTGTCGGCTAACTAGATTATTAAAATAATTTTAACATTTATGACGATATAATTTCTCCTTAAGAACTAGAAATCGATCGTAACAGGTATATGCGTTGCAATTACGCGTACGTGAGCGCCATTACATGCACTCTCTGCACTTTCATTCGAGGCCTGTATCGGAAGAATAAATTAACCGTGTTTAAAAGCGTAACACAAGGTGAGAGAGAGCCAAATTATACCGAAGCTGCCTGTAATAATCCTTGAGTCCTTTTGAAGACAAAGATGCATTTATACTATCTCTTATGCGACTATAAATTAGACTTTGCAACATGACTAATGTAAGCAATGTAAAAGAAATTGAAGTCATTTTAATCACGGGGGTTTCAGCAGATCCATGCTACTCCTTGTTACAAACGAAGAGAGAAGCCTTAACATATCCAATTGCATGACTAAAATTAATCGTTTCACCGCCAATTGTCAACGATCAAATTGCTAATATTAATCAATTAGTGAATAAATGACTGAGAGTAAATAAATGCTCTCATTTCTTTAAATCGAAGGAAATAAAATAATTTATGAATGTTATCGAAGACGCCGGCCGTTAGGCGATGTCGGCGAGAAAAAAAATGCCAGTCAATTATGTATTAAATATCTCATCATAGGTCGAGAAGCGACGAGTTAAATATTTCAACTCGTTAAAGTCGAGTCCACTATATATTCGAGTCAACTAGTTACTTTTACCGTAACTCGAGTTATCGGTGCGAACGAATGTGAGCTACGAATGCGAGAGTGAGCCAGGTTACGGAGTGAGAGCGAAATCGAGATACCAACCACGCGTTTTTCGTTTATCCAAGTTGTTATTCGAGTTGTTCCACTCACCAACTCGCCACGCCAAATATATGCGAACGCGTTTCCCTTCCTTCGCCGAGTCATCGACCCAGGACTAAATTCGAGTTAACAATATTTTCGAATTAAAGTAACTCCAGCTAATAAAGTACTCGACTCGTCGCATCGTTAGTCTTATAGGTGACCTACAGACAGGGTTGTGCAGGAACGCGTCGCTTGAGGTTTTTTTACATCAAATATTCAAATGAAGTATTCTACGTAAAAACTAAGTACAATACCTAGCAAATTGCGTGACAAAGATGGCGATACTGTGACCTCGTCTTTTCAAAATATTCAAAGTATTTAACATATGTGAATAAACATTTCAGCTAAAAAAGAAAAGTAAAGAATCACGTCAGGCGGGAGTAAACCATCGAAAGGATCTTTCAGGCTTGAACATTCCAGTTTCCCACATATTTCATGGAAAACTTCCATCTCCATTCATCGGGAAACCCGGTAGAATTTCGCGCCAAGTATACACACTTGCATACGTACATACGTATGTGCGAAACCATGTGCTGCGTGAAACGCTACAGAGTTCTTAACGCCAAGTTTAGGCGTGTTAAATTCGTAAGAATTAATATTTCTGTATTTAAGAATTGCTCGTGGATCAAGATTCAGATACATAAATACAAATGGTACTTTATTTATGACAAATTCGAAGTAGGAGGAAGAACTGCAGAAATAAAGTTCCGAATTCATATAATTTCTCCACCAAACTCGTGACGTAAGATACCTGGTAATTTACCGTAAAAATCCATGTAAATTACTTGGGGTATTTTACTTACCCAACCCTGCCTACAGGTGGAGGAGTTCTCCGAGAGCACCTGCGCGCGCAGTTAGCTCAAAAGGAGTATAGGCCATCATAAGTAACGGGGCACCGTGGTGGCGACGCTACGCCACGCTGGTTTCGGTATGGGTACGCTGGCCCGAAGCGGGCCCCTAGAGGGGTCTCGAGCGGCCCTCAAAATGGCCGTCGTGACCCGAGCGCCGAGTGCCGCCGCGGACAGCCGTCATCGGTAACGATTGGAGGAAGCGTCCGAAATTCGACCTATCCGGCGACCCGTCCAAAATTATGCGGGTCACGTGGCCCCGTACGTGCGCGTCCCATTGACTCGATCGGCATGAACCAGCAGCGCGCGCCAACCGCGTCCAACCAGAGAGGTCGAACCGCATCGGACCAACGCATCGCATCGGTGTGTGGCGGAATTCGCGCAAAGATGTGCGATGTTGTTCCAGGTTAGGAATCCCTCGGAAGGGGCCGTCGAGCGGACGAAAGGCACGACGAAAGACAACCCAGTTTGCGATCAACGGTGATCGGGAAGGAAATACGGTGCGCGGGGCGATGTAACACGATGCGTACGTGAGCGTGGGGAACTCGAGTAGAACGGGCGAGTGTGGTGTGACACGGACTGTGCCAGACCTCGAGCAACAAGTGGTTGCTCGTCTATTGGTGCCAGCCACCCGCGGGGTTAAATACCATTAAATTCGACGTATCCTGGCCGACGCGCGGAGCCGAAGAACAAAGTGGCGGGGAGACGGCGCGGACGTCGATCGAGGATAATATTCGATACGTGCATGTATGTCCCATTGTACGTGCAGTGCGTACGTATGTACGTGCATTACACGAGTCCGACTCCGTTACGTAGGTCTACGTCGTCCCTCGTCTTCGCGATCTCGGAGATGTGAACGAGAGCGAGGGGGACGCGGCGCGCGAAAAGGAAACGAATAAAGACGACACTGGACGACAGGGTGAATCACGCGGTGGTGGAGGTGGCGGAGAAGGTGGAGGCGTGGATCGGAGAAGCGCGACATGTCGATGTATGTCAGTTTGCTTCGAGACTTCGCAGGAGCGGCGAGGCCCTCCTGAAACGAGCCAACCGGTAAGTCGCGCTCTTTAATTAGTGGAAAGAGAGCTTTTTCAAGAGGGAGTTAGGGAGATCGAGGAAGGAGATACGCACTTTCATTTTTCACAGAGAAATCAACGCGTTCCGAATACTTTCATTGGTGTCTTTACTGAGAATCCTCATTGCGTGTTGATTTTGTAGGTGATCGCCGTATGGACTCGATGAGGAAGATTCTATGTGCTTTGCATGACATATGGAGTCAAAGGCGAAGAATTGAAAAGGAAGGAGAGAAAAGCGTTGGAACCTGCTATGAAGTACATATATGTATGTAATTATTGTATGTCTATATGCAAATTTGAATTGCATGAATCCCACTGCACCGCATAAGTTGTCACGTGTCTTAGCGGTAATGGGTACATAAATGAGGACGAGAAGAAAATTGATATATGATAACGAATTGAATTATATGACAAAGGCTACAGAAAAAGTAAACGAGTTGATAAACCCGACATGTTGGTATGTGTCGTTTTAATGCAGAATTATACCAAAGTGGAAAGACTATCGTACAGAAAGTGAAGCGGTGAGTTTATGAGCTTCTTAGTAAAATAGAATGAGTGTATTTTTTGAATGGGGAAAAACCAATGAAAGAAAACTTGGCAAGTTTAACTTAAGTGAAATTCAGATATTTTAATTTTGCAGGAAATTCTGCTCCATGGAATTGACGAGCCAGCAATGGATTTAGATAATTTACAGCAAGAGACAAAGATGGATATGGAAGATACCGATGTAACAGGAAAAGCATGGTATACCAAACTCTTTGAGTATGTCAGGAATCATAATCGAATTGATCCTGGGAGGCTTGAGCTACCTGATTGCGATTTCTTCAATGTTGCACCCAGACGAACATTGAGAATACTGAAACCACCTATTAAAAATGGTGAATATTACGAAGGGTCTAATGAAAGGCCAGATTCGGTAAATGGTAATTTTTTCTCACGCTGGTCCAAGAGACCTCATCCCTCTGGAAACTGTAGGTGTTCTTTTCGTCGTTCCAATCGATTTAGTACAACGGAGGAGCAGCTTTTATCAGCTGAATTGAACCACATCAGAAATAGCCTATCTGAGGCAGAAATGAACGGAGAAAACATCGAACAACTTGAGAAGACAGTATCCGTAAATCTTGAAGGTCTAATTCCACCTGTTCCTGAGGAAAATGACAAAATAACGGAGAAAAAATTAACAGACATCACAGAATTCACACCCGGAACTAATTATCAAAATATTGATGAAGTTGCGATTAAAAGTAAAATTGTAAAGGATCTAGAGAAATTTATTGAAGAGCTACTGGAGGAAATAGTGGATGATACGTTAAAATACATATCGGAATCTAAGGATGTGATTAATAGAGTGGAAAACTGTTCAACCGGTGTGTGTACGGATCCCAAACATTTAAGTAACTGTGTGTCCTTTGAAAACGATTCCGTAAAACTTTCAAAGATTACCGATGAAAAACAATTTGCTAATAGTTCGTGTACAGCTAGTACTCCTTTTAATAAAATCAATTTTGCTTTCCACAATGACATTAATAGAGTTAACAATGAAGAAGTGGATTATACAGATGGATATGTGAATCACGCATTTCTGGGATCCTCTAATGATCCTGATACATTGGAATTTTACTTGCATAAACCTGTTAATAGTTGCATGGCTTTGGAACATCTTGATTGTATCGACTCTGGTATTAACAGTGTAGAGACTATAGAATTTCAACCAGAGCAAGAACCTAGTTTGGAGGAATCATTAATGGAGATTATTGACGCAAAACTTGGACGTAGTCCATTACGAAAAAGTTGGGAGGATTTACGAGATCAACAGGATAAAGATAAAACCATTAAAGAAAGTATTTGTGAAGATTCATCTCAACTAGAAAATCACGAAAGCCCATGTAATTCAGAATCTCAATTAGATTCAGAAGTAAAGGTTCATGAAACTTTGAAAGATGAAAGAGATCTCGAAGAGGAAATAAATACCTTTAAAAAACATGAAACTGTTACCATGCAAAATGACAATCAAAATGCTCTCACAACTAAAATTGTTGATTGGGAGAAAAACACTCTTGAATCCGTAACAGAAGATGATTCGAAAAAACTTAACGAAGTGACCACGGATCCCAATTTTGATCAATTACGATTGGAGTTTAATGGGAGCTCGACATCTTTAGAGAATATTCCACCGCGGAAGAAAAAGGGGATGCATGTCTTTTGTAGAAAACTATCAACAAGCCTTTGCACCTCTAACAACGATGAAGATAAAGATAAAAGAATTAATGTGGGGCCTACTAAACGTAACGATAGTTCAAGGATTCGACCGGTAGAACTTGAAGATTATCGAAAAAAATGGTCAAGTCCCAAAAAGATTCCTGACTCTACATTGGAAAACAACCTAAGAGACTCTGTAAAATTGAGAAAAAACAAGAAACCTATTATTGTATTTCTCCATGGCTTTGGTGCCTCCGCGGATGTTTTTGCACATCAGTTGGAATACTTTTCCAAGTTGGGTTATCCTTGTCTGGCTCCAGACATGCTAGGTCATGGAATGAGCTCAGCGCCAAATCGTTCAAGAGACTACCACTTTGAGAAACTACTCAAAGATTTGGATACGATTCTCCATCATTATGCTTTCAAGCCAGGACACAAGTGCGTCCTAGTGGCGCATAACTATGGGTAATTATCTAATTATTACATTAAATATGTTAAACTGGTTACATTCTCATATATAAGCTTTACATTATTTAAATCGTTTAAACATTTGATTAAAACAAATCATAATAACTGTTAATAACAATTGTCAAAAAATTCAGTTTAACCCAAATTTAGTCGATTTGACACAATCAATAGATTAAATATTTGAGTTTATTGTCATTGCAAACAAAACATATAAAATGTTTAAATAATGCCAATATCCTGCCATGCCATCTTGTTTCATAATGTTCCTGTGAAGTAATAGAAACATTTAGTTTTCGACACACTAAATCGAGGCAGTTTTCTAATATTGCGACAGCCTATACGTGTGCAAACTGCATATCTGATAATAGGTCTGGTCAAAGAAATTGTGCAAACGAAGTAAAGTGCACCGTAAGGTGTGTCCACCGGAAAAGGGCGTATTTTGCGATATAAGATAACCCCGGGAATGAGCAATATCAATGTTGCTAGATCAGTATTCGACTGAAAGCCAATGTACAACCCACACAAAATGACGCCGTAGGAATAGACAATAAAGCTTAATTATTATTCGATTATTGCGACATAACGTGTGGGTCATCGGTGGTTCGGTGCACCTACGTATTTCATTTGCTGCTGTTTTATAAACCGGTGGGTTAGCAAAGACGTTTCTCGATATTTGTATGGTCATAGTAACCACACGATGACATCATAGCGCACTTTTATTCAACTCTCAGGAAAATGACACGAAGAGAAGCTTTAAAGGAAAAAAACGTAAATAGGTACCATTATTCTTTTCTAGATGCAGCTTTGCGACAGCACTGGCGTGTAAATACGATACCAACATCCACCGGTTAGTTTTGATATCTGGTGGTGGTCCAACACCTTTGGCACCTCCAAGTACAGAAAGTACTGGCCATTGTTGTCTAAGAGCAGCGTTTGCGCCTTTACTTATGTGCGGACTTCATCGAGACATTTTATATGCAGCGAGAGGTCGTCAGCATCCTTACTGTGGGCCCGAATCCCCTGAACAGTGGCCATCGCACATGAAGTATATTTTGGAAGGAATGGTCTGGCCGGAAGGCGACTACGTTTTCCATAGAAGGATATGTACGCCGACGCTCCTTGTACACGGACTGCGAGACAATAAGGTGTCTCTCGTACAGGAATGTCAAATGGAACGAGTGAGTCAAACTCCATTGCAAGAGCAAATACTTTAAACTTACCTCGCATTTTCATGTAATAGAACGTTGAAATGATTTAAAGGTTTAAGAATTATTCATATTTATTTTATAGTATGGTGAAGAAGGTCTATATGATTAGAACAAAAAAAAAAGATTTTATACAGGTTTCTAAAATCATGATTTGTTTACTTCCAGACTATGGTAAAGGCATTTCTAGAAGCTATTCCTGCAGCTGGTCACTGCCCGATGACGGACTGTCCCGAGCAGCTTAATCATATGATCCACTGTTTCATAGATTTATGGAAACATAAAAAGTGGTAGCCTCAAGACAAGCCCTAGAAGATTCGAAAAATTAATCATGAAGCAACGCATGTAGAGCACTTGATTGTATAATAAGTTAATTATATACGATACAACGACCACTAATTCGTACGTGGTCCGCTAGGGAAAAGAAGTTAAAATTTACAGAATCTGTGTGGAACGATGAACGTGCCAAAAGTTGTTTGATGTTGCCGAGAATTCATTGCTATCTTTGGCAATAGTACATGTATTTTGCTCCCCGAGCAACGAATACGTTCAACTTTTTTGTTGACTAGAGGCTACCAGATTTTGTACGTTGAAAGTTGTACCAAAGATGATTTATACAGTGTTACTTTATACGTTTTACGGCAGCGGAGCATAACTTATTCGTTTACAATAAAATCGTGTTTTAGACAAAGGTTGATGCGAAGACACGGTTAACACCTTCATTCTTTTAATTCCTAAGTCGTTCAGTTGATCATTTCACGTGTAAACCTTCTGGTGAGACCTTAAATGTCTTGATGATTTAGAAGTCTTTGATTAAGAGGATTTTCAGGTGACTTCATCCATTCTTTACGTAACAATTGTTTCAGTTGACTGAGCCTTAAGGTCGGATTTTGTTCCTTTATAATAGGCATCATTCTTTCTTCAAAACTTGTATAAGCTGCCTTGACTCGTTTTTCAGGATGACGGTCTACCTCAGATTCTTTCGTACTGCCAAATAAGAAAAGATTGGTATTAAATATAATCATATAATAAATCATCAAGCGTAATGAATGAACTTTGCAAATATATGTCTCGATTAAAACGATAATACCTTAAAACTGACAGAGCTTCATCTATGCCGTGTGCAGTTTCACCTTCCAATATTACTCTGTTCAAATTCTCTTCGATGGGTTTTTCTTCTTCCTTCTTTTTCATTGCGACTTGATTTCGCTTCTCTGTTATTGCAGTGATTTCGGCTCGAGTCACCTTTGCTGTTGGCTGTTTACCTCCTATTTTTATAGTAGCCATTTCTTTTTCAAGTAATGCTTTCGCTTCTGCTTTCTTTTCCAATTGCTGTTGACGCTTCTTTTCAAGTTCCTCCTACATGAGGAAGTGTAGAATATAATAACTTTTTTTAATAATAAAACTATATAATACCATTACTAATCGATAATAAACTTTGAAAAAATCTACGTATAAAGCATCGGAAGACTAAACTACTATGATATGAAGGATAAATTTATAGACGATACCAATCATACTGACAATATGACTTCATAATTGAAATTGCATTCCTAACTATTACATATCCTATATTTAAAGTTATTTCAACATATAAAGATTATGTATTACCTGCTTCTGTTTCTTCTTAAGAAGTTGTTTGTCGTCATCTTGCCAAGCCTTGTCTTCTGCTTCTTGGGCCTTTTTTGTATTTTCTGCCTCTTTGGCAGCTGCTTTTCGAGCCCTGGCTGCAACAGCCTTGCTATTTTCACCAACAAACTTTTTGGGCATGGCGGTCTGCTGAAATATTCTTATTCATTTCAAATTTCCCGCGAAATCGCGAGCGCACTTTATTGGCATGACTGTTGCACACGCGCAACAATTAATGTACATTCCAATTCGTAGAGGTTAATGTGTCTTCCAATATTGAAGTTTTTTCAAAGAAATATCGCAAACACCATACTTATACTAATTTATCTTGAATCCATGACAAGCATCGTTGTAAAAAAGTGGGTTCACAGATTAACAGCGCAGCGAATAACAACTATTCGTGATATGTCGAAGCAACGAGTGAAAAAGGTTGGGAAGGGTCAACAAGCGGAAAAGGTTGAGGTGAGAACACTTGTAAGTAACAGTTCTTACCGAAATTAGACGCAGGAATTCAAAATTTGTTTGGTGACTTGTTAAGATCACCTACCGCGAACGTAATTCGACATTTTCTAAAGAGTACGCGCCACCTAAAAAGTGTCACTCGATGTGGTTACGAGTGGTAATGGTAATATCAAAAGTCACTAGGTGTGCTCGTCTAGTGAAAACCCACTATATAGGAAAATCTCAAGAATCAAAAACTAAGATATTCAAATAATACTTCATACATTGTATAGTTCTCACATTACTTAATGATTAATCATTTCAAGAATAAATACTTATTTAAATATATTACAGTTTTTTAATTATAAAATATTAACATTTTTATATGCTACAAACTTTCATTTTTAGTTATAAAAGATTAATATTTACGATAGAACTTAATCATTTTCCAGAAAATGTCGAAATGAAATTGCTTGGAAATTCAGTTTTTGTTATTGCACATGCGCAGGACATCATCTATAACGGCGCGAAAGTCGAACTGCTTTAAAATTTAAGGGAGTCAAAATGTACTGACATGTCACTTAATGTAAAAAAATAACAAATAAATGTTATGTAAAGGAAGAGGATGAATTAAAATTGTATATTTTTAATATATTACTATATAAGATTTATCAATGATTAAATTAATTTATTAAAAAATTGATTTTATTAAAATAAAAGTGGATAAATTTACTACTGTGTCGTATTCTTGTATTTTAGCAAGTTCTGCCAGGAGCTGTAAGCGTTGGAAAGAATGGGACAGTAAATATAAAAATTCAAGCAAAACCTGGAGCTAAACACAATAATATAACAGGTAATTTATTCCTAAGATCTCTACGGTATTATTCATACAGTAGTAACATTGGATTGAACTTAATTCTTTTTCGAACACGAAACTGTCTCAGAAATCACTGATGATGTTGTGGGTGTTGCAATATCGGCACCTCCTGTTGAAGGTGAAGCAAATACTGAACTGGTGAAATATTTAGCATCAATTTTGGGCGTCAGGAAGTCCGATGTGTCATTGGATAGGGTTCGTTTTCAATTACATTATAATGTATAGAATATATTATTTTTATAATAATTGTACTCTTCAATACAGGGAGCAAAAAGTCGCCATAAGACTGTCATAGTAGCTGGGATTACCATGGAAAGTGTCCTTGATAAGTTGAAAACAGAAATGATAAGTTAGTACATGTGGATATCGTAAAAATAGATAACCGTGCAACAACGTATATTATAGACTGGTAATTAATAATTGATTTATTATCTCGACATTATTATATGACAGCCGTTTTTACACGCAGTTACATTGCACGCATCTTTCATTACATCCGCTTAATCTCCGTATTCAGAAATATTTTCAGGACCTATGGGCTAGTTTTATAAGTGAAGTACCGCTGAGAGATATCCTGTCCGAATGAAAACAATATAAAATCTGAATGTTTGAGTACGGTAATACGCGTTCCATCATCTTTACACATTAAATATATACGAATATGGCAGTTCTATCAGTACATACATACATAAAACAGTAGCAAATAGTAATAAAAATAAAACATCTGTGACGTCATGTGTAATATTGCATTATACACATTCTAATAAAATGTAATTGTCCAAAACACATTTTTCGCGTCACAACAAATAATCTCTCTAATAGAGAGTGATAAAATAATGTTATCTTATGTTGTCTAACACACTAGACAAGACAGATCAATTTAATTAGTGTCAAAGTATCAAAGAACAGGTGCCAAGTACTTTTTCCTTAACTACGCGTTACTATTATTACATGAATAAAAAATATTCGGCACTTGCTCGTCAGCGTTTTTTGTTAAAACGTTGCTTTGACTGATTCCAATTACATTTTGTTTCATTCATTTTTCAGTTCAATTCTCATTCCTGCACCTCGAAAGCTTTATCGTCAAGCCACGGTCGAAAAATGGGTAAAGTCGAGGGGTAGTGAGCTCCTCTTTTTGATGGTGCCGTTCCCGCAGGAGCTCCTTCTTGCCTGAGGGGGTATGTCGCCAGGACAATTGGTATCTGTAGTTTTATCTCCTTATCCAAACTCTTCGGGCTAATTACAAACTGAAAGAACCAAATTGATCAATATCGTAAGATCGCAAGATAGATAAAAATCCGAAAGTCGAAAAATTCTTACATAAACATGATAGAGTACGTTGATCAAATGACATCCCCTAAGGTTGGTAGGTGGCAATGGTGGAACGTACATTTGTTCGTTTAGCCATTCCTCACCCTCGCCAGGACGAATTTTCCCCCTAGACACGCTTGCTAATTCTCTTGTCTCACTGGCGAGGACTTTGCCTCGACATAGGTATTGAATAGTTTCAGTTAACGATGCCTTTGTTGACTTCATCGTCACCTATAGGACAAGTTCACATTCAAATATTAAATTTAAAGTAGCTATAAATATGTTTAATTATTAACGTAATCGATCAATTAATAGGTCAAATGAAATGTGAGTCACTCTTTTAGTTGCGCCATCGCGGACAACTAATACATATATCCTAGTACTATGATAGTAATATATACACATCGAATTAAGTCATAGACAAGATATATATAAAACGCGAATCGAGGGTTTTTTTCAATGTATCGTAGTACCGAAATATGATACGCACTTTGCTTCGATTGCTGACTGTAGCTGAAATGCCAATGGTTTCTCCAGGGACGTATCCACCTCTATCTAGGCTTACACGACAGAAGACAGGACCTCCAGAGACGCAAGATACACCTACGCGTTGCTCCACCTCCAGTCTCGCCGGTTGCTGCACATAATTGTTATGCAATCTAAGAACATCATTATATTATGGGCGTATAATACTGGAAGAAAAACACGTAACGTGTTAAAAATACACGCTGTCAGCTTAACATATTCAGGAAGGAATGCAAGTATACAAATGTACAGGTAACTGTTTTTATAATAATTAATATTTTGTATGCAGTATTCATTTAAATAATTTATATACCAAATCCTACATTACTAGGATTTTCCTGTAGTATTTTCGGTATGTCTGTAAAACATTTTTTTCGTTTTTGTCACATACTACCATAGACAGATGATATAGGGATACAATGATACTAGCTTAAAGAATATAGGACATGTTGCCCATATTTTCGAGCTGGTGTTGCGAGAGATAGGTTTTACAAACACGATTTTCAAGGTTACATCGTTCGAGAGAGATTGCTGTACTTGCGAAACAATCAACTTAAAGCAGAGAAGTTCAAAACGTTATTTTATCAGGGAAGCAAAGACTATGGATTAATGTACTCAAAAGAATTAATACGTAAATTATTTATAGTAGAAACGCAGTTAATACATTTAAGTTGGATGAATTTTAACTTACCGCTAAAATCGGCGGCTCGAGATTCAAATCGATAGGATTCATGACGATAAATACTTGTTGATTTTTATGCGTTAAGCCCCCTGGTTCCCTGAGGGCTGCCTTGCAATAATACTGGACCCATCCATGTTTACCCAGAAATGTGGAAGGCAGACCCAAAGGCAATCCCAATTTGAAAGGGAAACTGTGAATACCCGGTGATAACAAGGATGGTCCTTCACCTGAATGTTGAAACTCGTTAATATTCCTGATACATCGCAGAAACGAAGAAAACGAAATAAATTACCTGGCTCTCCCAGAAGCCTCATTCGAAAGTCTATGTAACTCTCCTTGTCGTAAACTCTTTCGGCCCGTTGACTTCGTACCCTGACAACTCCTTCGCCGATAACATGAAAATGGAGTCCCGAGACACTAAGGAAATAAAAATATAATGAAAAGAATTATTCGGTCATATTTTCACAACGAGAGTATACATTTCCTTTCTCTAACATATCAGATATCGCGCAGTAACACCTAATTACGAAACGTATCTTACAACATAAGTAGAGACGACAAGTGCGCACGATAAACGACAGGACGTTCAATGGGTTTTTTGCAGCATAATCACTGGGAGGGGAGGTCCAAATAGGGGACACAATACGGCAATTAGAGATTCAATTGTTATGAATGTTTTTGCAAAAAAGGGACTGCAACTGCTTCTGCAGGTGGCAAGTGCATTGCAACAGGTACAACACATATTTCTCGTTGTACATTAAGGAAACAAACATAGCGAAACGTTGTAACGGCACATATTAACTCGGGCGTGTAATGTTAAATTCTCACGCATGAAACTGCGGAACATTAATCCGAAAGGGAAAAGAAATCCGTTGCGTTGCGTGAGAGATTTCGATAAGAGTATCCTGGAGAAATCCGTTGCAGTTGAATTTTCATTAATTGTTACGAAGGCTTATTATCTAGAAATATGCTTTTCCCGCATGACTCCTTCATAAATCCGCATTAAGAGCGTTCAAAAGTAAACGAAGCGGTCCCTAAGTAGCTCAAGTATTTTCGCATTCTTGTGGTATCAAAATAAAATACAAAACAATTTAGAGATGCTAAAACCTAACAACGACGGAATATAGTAAAGATTAATGGAAAATGAATTGACAGCGAATTAAAATGCAGCTATGCACCTAGATAACTCTATGGAAAAATACTTCTATCGTTCCTCGTTGTCCGCCCTAGTCTCGCCTTTACCACTTACGCCGGCCTTCGCGCCTAACTACCGATAACTACGATATTATAATACTCACTACCGTGCCACCACTGGCAAAATACTCACTAGGCCTCGTCGTCCAGTTCAATGAGCACTCTGCCAGACAAGAAGTGTCCGGGAAAGTAGAGTAAGTTCGTGTTGTCGAAGAGTATCAAAAACTTGCTCAACTTTCTCGTCATCTCGACGATCGGCTCGGGACAGGTGTCGCTCGATTACGTCTGCGAGGCCACTAGGAGCGCATCGCGGGACCTTCTGGCAGGGCGAGCTTCCCCATCCGAGCCATCCACGTGTCCTCGACGAGTGACTACCTCGGCGACTCGCGTAACAGTCGCGCGAGCAACGCCCGGTCGCTCGCGGGCTTTTTTTCTTCCTCCAGTTGGTCGTCGGAGCGCGCAGGAATGCTCGAGTAGGCGCACCTGGGCGCACCGCGCCTAGGTGGTCGGCTCCGATTTGAAAAATCCGCACCGCCGCGACCCGTCCGCCATTTTTCCCGCGAGCTCGAAAGGCTCGAAACTCGAACGTGGTACCGTTTGATCTTAGACGACGACGCGCGAGTCTCTCGGCATCCTCGAGCAGCGACTCGTCCTGAAAGTCTCTGCGTGAAACTCGCCGAGACCAGCGGAGACCTTGCCTCTTCCTGTCCATTCTTGGTGCTGAGATCACTTTCGCTCCCTACCACCTACGGACCTCGCGTCTCGTTCTCCAATAGGACGGAAGGACGCACGAGGTTACCTGGCGGAGTCGCCCAATGGTTTTCCGAGTTTGCTGCACGCTACGGTTCGGTCCTTTTTTCGCTCCTTCGATGCGCTCGCTCCGATAGACCAAAATACCTAGAATCATCGAAGCGCTTAATGAAACTGCCGGAAAGTCTCGGCGAACGTGTCGCTAAACGTCACTGCGAAATGCTTGGAAGAGACCTTGAGAATCGGCAAACGATTCTTCCAAAATACTCTACTTTAAAAAGAGAATCATCGATTAAATCAAATTTCTGCATAAATTGTGATCATTAGAACCGTCACTTTGATGGTCGAGCGTTTAGTCCTTCGATTTCGATGATGTATATTTTTCTTCTACTTAAATATACGGCGGTTATATGTTTCATCCAAAGGTATAAAGCTATTTGAACTCCGAAGTTTATAAAAATGTCAACTGCTACGAGATGGGCTCCTGTTAAAAATATTTGAAGTACTTAAGGTGATATATACGTACCAAAAAGTCAAAATATTTATAAAACTTTTTTTCAAACTGGATGCACCAGATTATCTAAAACTTTAACACGTGATTATGGCGGCTCTAAGGAAGAACGACCTGCCCGTGAAATTTCATTTAAAAAAAATATATATCTTTTTTTGTTCGTATCCGAGACAAGGACAAAATTTGTATCGAAAAAAGAAATTTCATGAGCAGCGCGTTATTCCTGAGGGCCACCGTAACCACGTGTTAAAGTTTCAGATAATTTTGTGCACCCAATTTGGAGAAGAGTTTTATAAATATTTTGACCTTTTGTTATGTACATATCACATTTTCATATCACCTTAATTTGATTGAAGGGAAGCTTTTATGTTTAATAGTTATGAACTAAGCATTTCAAATGCGTATGTACGCTCCTGAAAAGCTGGCGATGCAGCGTATGTATGCATGTACAGGAATAGCAAAAGCGACAAAAAAGAACCCCTCTTAGCGATGCGCAACGAGTCGTACCGCAATGTACATTTTGATTCACCTGGTATCTTACGGACTTGAGTGGCTCGTAGAGTTTTATGGAATGAAATTTTACCGTTAGTGCGTTTCGCTAGCGGAGTAAAGTGACTATCACGCGAGGTACGATAACCGTGATTCGAATAAATTGCTCGCTAAGTTTCTCAAACTTTCGTGCAATGAGCTATAAGAAGCGTTAATGTTCCCATGCTTTACAGTCATTACCCTGTGAACAAATATTTGCCAGTTAATCGTTGTAAATCAGTGTTCAAGTACATGTTTTGTACACACACGAGTTGTTGTTTTACGGCTAATTCCAATTTGATCTTATCTTCATCGAACGGCTTCGTTTTTTTTTCCTTTCTCTTTCCAAGACCTTTTATTAGCAATTCCTTTCTACCTGTTTCTTCTTCCATTTATTTGAATTTCAACACCGTAATTGGAATATGGGCATCTTATTAAATGTGTAGAGTGAACACGGTCTCATTATTCTTGCGATATCATCCTGGAATAAGAGAGAAAAATGTACCGCGTGGAAAAAAAATTTGCTATTGAAAGTAAAGGAAAAAAGGAACACGAAGAAGAATGGAACGAATCCTGAAATCACAATGACATTTTTTCGAATTTATGCAACATTTACTAACAGTGGACAAAATTGAATTACACGTTCTGCGTTTAATTTTGCGTGATTAAACGCTCCGTGTAATATATATGAAATATATAGTGTAGTTCATCAAAGTTTAAAATATTCTCTGTATCGATGAAAGTATGTAAGCCTTCTCTGTGTCCTACTAGATGGCATCGCAATTATATATACAAGCTATCTGAAAGCTCTGTACGATGGCAGCACGAGGAAGAATCGTGAAAATCCTCTCGTAACAATCTTCCAAATCATCTTCACACGGGAATACAATCGGGAAATCGGTTTATATATTTTGTACACACGTCCTCTTCACAGTATTATTTTGACACGAGTTTTTCTTTGCTATCTCTGTTAGCTTTCCTATTTGAAATACTGATATCGATACCAAAAAACATAATTTAAATTGACAAATACTTTTTACGATCATGTTTTCTAAAGACAGGAATATAAAATAAAGACAAAGTGAAATGAAACATTTAACAATTACAAAATATTTTATAGGATCTTTATTCTTATTCATTTCAAATCTCATTCAGTGAACAATGCTTGAAAATGTAATATTTAGGAACTTGGGACAAAATTGTTAATGAAATAACTTAATACTGAATGAAGTAAGATGCATCGGTGTACTCTAGCTCTCTATCACATGTATTAAATGATGTAAAAACACGATAATAAAAAAGTATGTATCACAAAATGTACTTTTAAGCAGCCTTAACGGTCTTCTCCTGAGCACGCTGCTGTATAGGACTCTTCTGTGTCTGGGAGCCCTGCTCCTTCTGTGACTCGATATTCTTTGGAGTAGTATCATCCTTCAAAGCTGGTTGTCCAGTATTCTGTATCCTGATGACTCTCTCATTCTTTTCCTGTGGAGTTTGTGGTTTTCTAGGTGCAGTGATGCTGAGAACTCCGTCGGAAGAAAGCATAGACTTGACCTCGTCGATGTCACATTGCTCAGGTACCATATACTTTCGTACGAACTGTCTGGAGATCCAACCATGTTCATCTTCCTTTTCCTCGTGTTTGCCTTCAACGACGATGTTCTTTCCAACAACTTTAACGCTGACCTCTTCTGGAGCAAATTGCTGAACATCCAGTGTGACTTGAAATTTGTCCTTGTCTGCCTGAACAACGGATGATCCTGCACCCTTATGATAGCCGGTTCTGTCATAGGGATGGAACCGGCTGCAGCACTTGCGCTGAGGTTTTAGTACCAAGATACTGGGACCGCCCGGAGCTACCTCTGGAAGATCATCTGGTCTCAGTGTTAACCCAAAATGCTGATCGAACAATCGGTGAGGCCTTTCCAGGTCTTCCCACCAGCTTGAGAATACCAATGGCAGAAGAGACATCTTGACCAAATGCTGTTCACTTTCTTTCTTCACAGGTATCACCTTGAAAATATACAACTTTTTTAATTCATTGCCTCAAGCGCCATATAGACTCGTAAAATACAATGATTACTTACAATGATTGTTTGCTCAAGAATGCTCGATTCAAATTGGAGATACGCTGAGCGATGCGTTCCCTTCGACGTTTCGGAATCAAATATGTCGGCCGTTGGTACGCTACAGTATATATATGAGAAGCGAACCGGCCGGTATGTACGAGCAGGGTGCTTCCAAAAAGCTTGAGAACCTTCTAGAAGGTCCAGAAGGTTCTCGAGAGAAATATTAGATGCCTGCTAAAATCGAATCCTTATACCTTCTAGAAGCGTTGTGATTACATATCAATCATGTGCAAAATCCTCCCTGAAATTTGGAAGGATTCCTCTAATATAGGTAAACTGTTTTGAAACATGTCATGCCATGTATAAGGTCTGGAATCTGAATGTAGCAATTTTATGCAAAACCAACGGTTTTACCCCGTTTATTCCCGATAAATGAAAGATTTCTTGTGCTGCTTAGTCTACTATTACTGAACTTGTTAAGAAAATTAGATAAATTTGACGTGAAACAACTACGTAAATAAAATGGAGAAATTTGGAGAAAAACAAATTCGACATTAATTTATGCCTACGTGAAATCTTGTTTCATAAATAGTATAAGAAATGACATACAAGTTTCTAGACATTTTAATTTATTTAATCAAAAGACGGCCTTTTTTTCTTTGTGGTGGGACTTTTAAATGTGTCAATATTCCCACACAGAAGTTATGCCCCATTCTTTCGCAACAGGACATGTCATAGACAATCTCGTATTTTCGCTACTATAGAAAAACCTAAAAAGTATAATATACATCGTACCCATTACACTACTTTCAAAAATAAATAACTTATAAGAAATTTTTCTAAGAAAAGATTTGTAATAGAAACATATTCAATCTAAACTAGATTTTTTAAAGAATAGTAACGAGACAATGACAAAACGAAAAAGAGCTTTTACTATACATCTTTTTAGACATAATCAATGTTTCATGTTTCAATTTCTAAATTTTCCGGTAACATATCTCTTTAATTTTCACGGTTACATTCAATTATTATCGCTTTATTAAATATCAGTAAGTTCAGATTACAAGTTGATAATAGTACTCTCTCTTGCCAAATCTTTTTTCAGGAAATAGAAAAAGAGTCGAAGCCGGTTACGATAGGTTATGGCTTACCGGCTTTTGCAAAATCACAACACTGTTACGATGAGGCGTGGACGCCGGTACTCACTAATGAAGTCAAAACTCAATATCTAAATACAAGTCTAAAACGTTTTATAGCAGTGCAATTGCCATAATATTCCAACGTAAAATACAGATTAAATAAATAGTGTTTTTATTCATTCAAATTTGTAAAATGGATTGATTATTTTCAACAATGTTCTAGCAAAATCCGAGGGAATATTCGAGATCGGTCTAGGAGTTTCCGGAACTCACTTCCCCCTCCAGCGCGAGTCCCGGCTCGGCCAATAAAAGCACAGCTGCCGGCTCGTCGAACAACAGACAGCTTCAAGATTTGAAGGTGAACGGTCGGCGTTAGTGAGCGATCTCGTGAGAAATTCGACAAGCTAAGTCTTGGAGATTTACACTCCAGTGTTATACCGTTGTATTTGGTGAAACCAAGTAATAAAAAGCCAAGATGTCGCTGATTCCCATGCTGTTCTCTGACTGGTGGGAGGACTTGGAACATCCTCATCGTCTCCTGGACCAGCACTTCGGACGAGAGATCAGCCCTCGGCAGTTCATAACACCACGTGAGCTGGCATTATATTTGCACCCTAGGGACAGACTTCCTGCAACCTACCACAGGCCCTGGGCAGAACTTCTGCGTGAAGGCGAAGGAGGTGCGTCCACTGTCCAGGCAGATAAGGACAAGTTCCACGTTGCTCTCGACGTGCAGCAGTTCAAACCTGAGGAGATCAACGTTAAAGTAGTTGACAAGTGCGTCATCATTGAGGGCAAGCACGAGGAGAAGAAGGATGAACATGGTTGGATCTCCAGGCAGTTCGTCAGACGATACCTGGTCCCTGAGCAGTGCGACATCGAACAGGTCTCCTCGAAGCTCTCCTCCGATGGTATCCTCACCATCACTGCCCCAAGGAAGGATCTACCTAAGGTGGAAAACGAGAAGCAGATCAAGATCGAGCACACTGGGAAACCTGCGATCAGACAGCCACCGCCACCACAACAGCAGCAGGAGGCTGTGAAGGACAAGGAGGCAAAAGAGAAGAAGTAAATGTTACTTCGCGTTGATCGTGATTTGCACTTTTCATTCCATGTTTAAATAACGTTTCATTTCTTTGTATTAAATCACCAAAAATATTAAGACTAGTTCCATGTATAACTGCCTCGATACAAATATTGTATAAGATAAATGTTGCATATAACTATCGATTAGGTTATTTGTATTAACTAAGAAATTTAGTTACTAATTTCGTGTGAGTCTTTTTTTTACATAACCTAATAAATGGTTAATGCCAGAAAATTCCTCGTGTCGTTTCTGTTTCCTTTCATCCTTTAGTTTTATTGTCAATGATTTCATACATTTCTATTTATTAAAGTTATTTACCTTTCGTCATAGGTTATTCTTGAATTGATACGTTCAAAATAAGAGTACGCAGAATTTGCTCATATAAGTCTGGAATTTATTGAGAACTTAGTTTTTGATTCTTTTCTGTGAAAAACGAAAATATATTCTTTTAGTTGTCCACATCCATTTGTATTCATTTTTTCTGTTTGAAGTTATAGTAATCTAATTAATATAAAGTCTAATGTGAAATAGAATTACAGATAGTCAAGAAACGGTTTATTACTTTTACATGAAACACATTTTTAACACATTTTGGTTGGCATTTATTACACTTCTTTGTTCATAACTTCCCTTGAAATACTTGTCCATCCACAGCTGTAGAGATGCTTTTAAAATTATTGACATTCAGGTAGGTTCTACAAATCTGTAGCAGTTGATAGAGGTAACGTTGCATATAAAGTTTTGGAAAGCATTTTTTGAAGTCAGGATGAAATTAAAACAATATTTGTTCAAATATTAATGTTCAGCTGAAAATCCTGTATCCATGTCGTCTATGAAAATTAATTTTAACTCGAGTAAGCTGCAGAAAATTAAATCGTGTTGAATAGAAAATAATCTGTATGTAGAAAGCATTACATGTATCAAGTCGGGAATACGCGTAATACAAACCTGAAAAAGAATCTGTAAAGACTCTAAAAGAAGTAACAAATGATATAACTGAATGCAAAACATAAACGCATGCATTTCAACTTCAGATTTTTTGAGAACGACCTCCTGCGTTTGACCTTTAGGTCTTTCCTTATTTTTACACGATGATTTCATTCTCATATGCAAGTTAGTAGTAAATAACTTCTAAAACCAGTTTTTACTTGAAATCACGTATCTAATCGTCTAAAAAAGTTAATTTTAAATCGAATAGAAGACTCAATCGTGTTAAGTGGAAAAAGTTGTATATAGGTACAGTCAAATGGGGAATACATATAACACAAACCCATACAGATATCTCCTGGGACAAATTTTGAAATTATAAATATAGCGAAAAATAATTTGATGCAATTCGGCCCCAGATCTTTCTAGAACGGTAGTTCTAGAGAAGTTCTAGAAAGAACGCAGAAGGTATTCTGCGTTCAGTTGCGGTCTTTCTCCATTTTTACACGAAGATTCCATTCTCCTGCGCGGAGTGGCGGTGAATATTTTGTTAACGGATAAAATATTGCACTTCCTGCCAACATCGCATTAGTCTGAGTCGAGAAAATGCGAAGTTTCGCACGCAATTACGCACTATCCAACCTCGTGAAAGATCACCTCATGTTTACCCGCTTTGTGCTTCAGTTTTGATGACGATATTACAGTAATATATACATTTTAATTAAACCATATTTAAAGAAATAATGGCATAGGGTAATTGCACTTAAGCCAAGTACTCTCAATCAGAAATATCGAACAATTAGGTGCTCGCCTCTTTTTCAATGACATCGATATCGAATTTCCAAGTTTAGTCTATATCAATTAAAAAGCCATGAAATCTTGCGTTTCAGTTTCTTCGTTACATTACTTTTTTTTATTTAATCTTATTACATTAAATAAAATGAATTAAATAAAAAAATGTACAACAGACCCAATCGTTATTTTTAACTAATGTAGACTATACCCGTAAAATTACCGTCAACTCTTAATTGCCAATACAACATATGCCTAAATAAGTAAATATATTTTTAATTCGTCATCTACATTTCAACTCCATCGAAGGGATAGGAGGGATCAGAGGGAATATCCGCTAATAATTACCAACAGCAGTTTATTAATACTGTCATTTTTCCTGAGATTGACATATGACGTAGTATCGAGTATGATATACTATGACGTACGGGAAGAAACATACAAAACATGAATACGTATATTACACGAAAAGGCAGTTGGTGAAAAAGATATACAAGGAACGAACTCCATAAGTTACACAGCTAAAGATATACAAATTAATGAAATCAGTTGCTCTTGCTCGCAGCCTTCTCAATGGCGGGCTTCTCGACGTGCTCGATCTTAATGGTCCTCTCCTGCTTCTGTTCGATGGATTCTGGTTTCCTGGGGGCGGTGATGGTGAGGACCCCGTCCGAGGAGAGGGTGCTGCTGACCTTCTCGACGTCGCACTGCTCCGGTATCATGTACTTCCTCATGAAATGCCTCGAGATCATCCCGTGCTCGTCTTCCTTCTCCTCGTGCTTTCCCTCGACCACGACGTACTTGTCAACCACCTTAACGTTGACCTCCTCGGGCTTGAACTGTTGGACGTCCAGGGCGACTTGGAACTTGTCCTTGTCCGCCTTCACAACGGACCAGCCGCTGGATTCGTCGTCCCTGAAGAGTTCGCCCCAAGGTCTGTAATAGACGAAGGGAAATCGTCTGTCGTAGAACGATGGGTTGAACAACTGATCCGGGTGCAGGCCATGGCCGAAATGCTGGTCCATCAGTCGATGGGGTCGGTCGAGATGCTCCCACCAATGCGAGAACAATTTCGGAATTAGAGCCATTCTTCTCATAACACTTTGTTGATCTCTCAGAGAAAGTGCCTCTGTGAAAACGTTAATCGGTACCTCTCTAACTAAACTTCACCCTTTGTTACCGCTTCGATTGCTGCGTCTTGACTGGCGGGTCGCGTCGCCTCCTTGCCTTTATATGCGCTCTAGTCCGGTGGGGGTTGGACTCGGAACATTCGAGAAGATTCTCGAAATTTCATCGAAATTGTAATCGAAATTGTAATCGAGAATTTTCTAGAGTGTACGATCCAGTCTGGATGTGCAGGAAAGGGATTCGTGAAATAAAGGGCATTTAACTCCAATTTGTTAGAGCGTTTCGAGGTGACTTGTAACCAACTGAACCGCCGCGCTGCAGAACGGAACTGGGAAATGACGTTGCTTAGTTTGGGACCATTCATGAATGAAAATTATCTCTCTTACTGTTAGGAATTGTAGAATTACTTAGCTTAGCATGTTTCGAGAGCATTCGGGCATTTTGACGGACAGGTAGAGTCGTAGGTTTAAAGTGTATACGTGACATTACCGTCTGGCGCGTGCTCGAAAGTTCCGCGGCCAACATTTCTAAACGTTTCGAGAAATATCTATTACATTAACGGGAATACATAAAATGATATATATTAGCGATGGATAAGTACTTTGGCTACTTATTGACGTTACTTGTTAATTTGTACAAAATTTTTCTTGTAGACTTCTTTGAAATCCTTAATTCTAAATACTGACTGTGATTTGCTGTGATATTTTTCAAGCAGAAATATTTTATTCATCGTGTTGTATAATATTCTTCAAGCGGAAATATTTTATTGATCGTGTTGTATAATTTTATCCGGTTCCTTTGCTACGTTCAAGAACCCTAGTAGCGCAGAATAATTTCTAAATATTTGTTTGTAATCTTTGCTAAATATCTCAAGCGGCAGATTCTTTAAAATATCGCGTAGGTTTCATTCGAAGATCTCTAAAATATTTGTTGAAAATCTCAATGACATATTTAGTTTGAATAATTTTTAAACATTAAAATTATATTTTTAATTTATAAACATAATAAAAATACAATTTTTACTTTACAATTATTATTGAACCCCTCAGTTGGTATCAAAAAACACGATAAATTTTTGGCAATATTTTCGTTCGGCTATGTCATTAAGGTAGCAAAACGTGTGATTTTGATTTTAGAAAATTTTTTAAATGTTTACAATGTACTCGGCAGATAATATTTAAAAAATACGCATATTAAAATGAAACCAAACGTTTCGTATATCTATAAGAAGAATATTACGAAAATATATGGAGCTAATATACAAATATTATAAAAATAATATTGTAAAGTAAACGTTTTGCAAATATTTAAAATGTCTGCTATATATTTATAAAATGTACGATATTCGTTAAACATATATAAAATATATGATAAATATTTTGTACTACTAGGGAATGTTCCAGAAGGTTCTAGAAATTTGCAGAAGTTACGAGACTTTAAGTATATTTCAATACTAGTATTGAATAAATAATTGTCTCATGCTTGTACTTTGGAATCTGGCATAAATCCTGGAGTCCTTGAAAAATTTTATAAGAATCCCTCGAAAGATGATTACATAATCGATAATGACGAACGTTGGCTAAACGTTCCTAAACGCTTATTCAACGTTTATCCGACGTTTGTAATCGTTGATCATAAAAAATCTGTAAAATACGGTACTAAACAACGTAATGTATTATATACCTTATACCTTTTGTAATTGACAATATATCTGTTATAGAAAGGATAAGACGTGATACTTTCCTTGTCGAATGTTATTTGATTGGTATTTTAATTAAAAGTTTGGACTTTGTACTTAAACAGTCGATTCACTTGAATAAACTGCGTCGTTTATAATTTTAGCCATTGGTTGCCACACGCAGGGCCGAAAATCAATATCAGGGCGGAGTTTATGGAGCTTCCGAAATCTGTTGTCACCGACCCTACCTGACACATAAAGACTCGGAACGTCTTGAAGCTTCTAGAAAGTTTTCGAAAATGCTTGAATTTCCGATAATTTTCTTATTCTCGAGTTCCATTTATACAATTTTTTGTTTCTCATTCTAGATTTTAATTTCTAGAATTTTCGATAACTCCGTTGTGGAATTCGATTTATGACATTTTCGACGTTTCTCGTTCTCAATTTCCATTTCTAGAACTTTGAATGTGTCTTATTCTAGAATTTTATTTTCAGAATTCTCTACATGCTTGACATTCCAGAATCCCATTTTAAAAATTTTTGGTTTCTCATTCTGGAATTCCATTTCTAGAATTTTCGGGACTTCTCGGTTTAGATTCTCATTTTTATAATTTTCAACGTTTCTTATTCTAAAATTACATTTCTAGAATTGTTGATAAGTTTGTCATTCTAGAATTCTATTTCTAGAATTTTCGACGTACCTGATCTAGAATTACATCTCCAGAATTTTCGACGTGCCTTATTCTAGAATTCCATTTCTAGAATTTTCGATAAATTTTTCATTCTAGAATTTTGTTTCTAGCATTTTCGATAATTTTAGCATTTTAACATTCCATACCTACATTTGCGATAAGCTTTCCAGAAATAAATCTCAAAATAAATAGTATAAATTTAATTTTAGGAATTCTTATTGGTACAAATCAAAGTCCGGGCTGTACGGATATACAGAAAGTTTTGAATCGGACGTCGGAATTAAGACATGTAGCTGCAGAGATATGATACGTTATTTTCAAGTTATGGATAATCGTAAGAAAACAGGGAACATCTTGAAGAAAACAAAAATGATACAGCGGTGTGCTATTTTTATTCCGAGTATTCCATGCATCCCGTTAATGCCGAGAGCATTTGAGTGTGTTGATCATCCCATGAATATCCTAAAATAACCTTTCAATGACATTTGCTAAACATTTACAGCTCGGATAAGGAGATTTCGAGATTTCCAAACCACAGAGAGCATTTATCTAAAATCTAAAATAGATTAAATTGGTCAAATAGTAAATTACCCTCGGAAATATTATTTGATAATTTTCATATGCAATTCTACAAGAGTTCAGTCTGAATAATTTCTAAAAATAAACATCGGCTTATATTTTCGTGAATATTCGAGATACAAGGTTGAGAAATTTCGCTGCATATATTTCTAACTGTATTTTTACTTACCTAATTATAAACCACGATTTTCGCTTATAATAGGTTTAAATTTAGATTTTGATATAATTCGATTGAATAACAATACGTTTCTAGAACTATACTTACAATCGATTCGAATGTTTTAATATTCATTAATGAATTAAAATAAATCTCTTCTCCCAAGGCGGAAACATATATACACACATCATACACACATACATACATACATACATTTTTGAACACTTACAAAATCTCTTGATCCTTGACCCTATCCATAAGTGTTTAAGTCCTAGACAAAATAAAAACATAGAAAGTAAAAGTTTAATTAAAATGATTTTTTAAAAATAACCATCGATGTACATTTTTAAAAGTTTTCAAGAGACAGAAGGTGCAAAAATTTTCACTGTATATATTTTCAATTTTATATTTATCCACCTAATTAACAAAGATTTTCATTGATTACAGATTGAGAATCAAAATTTTAATATGCTTTCCTTTGAAAGACGACGTTTCTAAGACTATATTTACAGTAAATTCGATTTTTTAATAATTAATCAATGAATTAAAATAAATCTCTCAAATTCCCTTCAAGGTGGAAAGCATCATGTATACGCACATCATTTTTTTTTGACTCGCAAATCCCTTCTCTTCGATCCTTTCCCAAAAACATATAGGTCCTACAAAAAATAAAACCAATGAGAAATTGCCTGAAAATTAAATATTTTGTACACGTACCCAATAATGTCATGTATCCGATCACTTGCCTGAGGTCCAGAAATAGATACATTCGTAAACCATTTATCTCAGGCTCCGGATAGCTCGATATATCGATTCGCATGCCACTCGCAAGCTGTAGTTTAAATTTCATCAGCCCCCTGTATCGCAAATTTCATTTTCACGTATCAATCGGCAGAATTTCAGCAACACAGATCTTCAAATTTCTCGAAAGCTCTAGAGTGCGCATCCCCTCTACCGGAGCGCGCCCCATAAATAGAGCTCCGAGCTGGGCAATGGGCATCAGTCAAGAACTAGCGAGAGAACGGCGCAAGCTTGTACGAAGCGAGATATTTACCTGTGTGCCATACATAAGTCCATTCATCCGAGATATCTAATTGTACCTGAAGCATAAAAAACCATGTCGCTCTTACCAGTTCTGTTATCGGCGGCATTGTGGGCCGACCTGGAGAGACCGTACATGATGGACCAAAACTTCGGAATGGGATTGAGATCTGACCAGTTACCTGGCCTCAGCAGTTTGGAGAAATTGTACGGAAATCGGCTGTTGAACAGTCTGTACTACAGACCTTGGACAGACATCTTGAGGGCAACCGAAGGTGGATTATCGGCCATCAAGGCGGATAAGGAAGGCTTCAAGGTCTTCCTAGATGTCCAGCAGTTCAAGCCGGAGGAGCTCCAGGTCAGGGTGATGGACAACACGCTTCTCATCGAAGCGAAACACGAGGAGAAGAGGGATCAACACGGCCTAATCTCCAGGCAGTTCGTCAGGAAGTACATTCTGCCCGAAGGGGTGGACCCGGAGAAAATCTCATCCAGTATATCCACGGATGGAGTCCTGACGATATCGGCGCCTCTGAGGGACCAACCCCAGGAGAAACCAGGGAGGATCATAGAGATCGAGAGGACCGGGAAACCGGCTCTTCGACAGGAAGAAACACCCCGTAGTTCCATGGAAGGCCAGGACCTTACGACCGAAGGAACGACCATCACGACGGAAGAGAACGAGGAAGCCAATGAGGCGACAAAATGAAATTTTCATTCGTAATTCCTGTTGCATTTTGACTGCTCTTTTTTACATTTAGGTTAACTATTTTATATGGTTATGTTCATGTTGCCAAAGCTCTCTTTTTCAACTTTTTCTACCACTGTTTAAATAAAATGAAAGATATTTCGAATATACTGTGTCGGCTTACTTTCCCAGCTTCCGAGATTTTACATGTTCAATTTTTTTTTAACTGCAGAAGACGAATTCGGTCGACTTTGTTAGCGGAGCATCCTGTAAATTAAAGATTTCATCTTAGGTATAAATAGCAGTTGTACCGAAGTTAAACCGCAAAAAAAATTAAATAATTCAGTCCTTTTTTCTGATGCAGTTTAAATCTAGCACGGTTAGATAATTAGTTATACCTGGAGGAGTAACCATTTTTATTCTAATTGTCGCAAAATTTAATGCTTGGACTTATTTTAATTTTGTGACTTGATTTATTAGAATGTTTCGATGACGACAATGGAATGTTTATTTCCCTGTACTTCCGAAAGAACTTTCATACTTTCATCCTACATTATCTCATGACAACTGTTCTAAGTATCGATAATTTCCTGCTGCCCATGTAACTATCGCTTGATAGACATATTTCTTCATAAACACTTAGTTATTAATAAAGCGTAATTGATTGATAACGCTTACTACGGCTCGTAGTAGAAGTATGACGTGTACCTAACATTCCGCAACCGCCTGGCCATTTAACCCTACAAATTCGATGTTTGTACATAACTACAAATTCATGATCGTGACAGACACTGGAATAAGGCGCTGGTTTAAACGATTTTAATAGTTCGGCTAGACGGAAATTGAATAACGATTCTCCGTATTGCGACGGAAGTAAAATTTAAAGGGACACGCGAGACATGCGCTCGAGTTCACGTTTTACTTAATGCCGAGCATAATTCCACTGATAATCCATTTCATTTAAATGATGCGATTATCGTAAATTTTCAATAACTCATACATAAACTTCTTCATGGCTATAAACCTATCAATGCTCATGAATTGATCAGACTTAATTCTATGAATCACTTTGCAATGCAAAGTGGATATGGATACTTACTTTTTTAGATATGTTTAGAGATTGGATTATAAAATTGTCGGTTTATAAAAGTGTCAACAAATATTTTAAGAAACCAGGAAGGGGACCGACTGAACTGTCCTTGAGCTATCTTCCAGACAGCGGAGTAAAATAAGATCACGTAGTGCAAAATAAAGTGCAACGCAATATGCCTTTGTTATATATGTGGAAAACATCATAACTGCGTCGCACAGTTTGCATGGAATAAATGGTACATACGATTTGATGTACGTTTTGCACAGCATACAACTGCGTCGTTACGCTTTCGAATTCTTCAACTTTTTTTGTGTTGCATAAACATACACTATTTTAGCTTATTTTGGGCTCCAGAGGAAAACTCGAGTTGCAAAAGCTGCGTCATAACGGATGTTTTTATTCTACTTTTTCAACTCAATTCTTTATTGTCCTAAACTTGTTCGCCTTTACTTCATAAATGGTGTTGCACTCGAATGATCAAGCTATTTAGGTGACCAATCCAAAATCTTAAAACTTATTTTAATACCTATTTAAAGTTAGTGAAACAAAGTGACCACTGTTTACGGGTATAAAGCGAAGCTCGTGACATTCGCGTTTACCAAGGCATTTTTTTTTATCGGTAACAGTGTCGAAGTCTCTCGTAAATGTTATTTTTAGACGTATTCAATGGTAATTCGCTGATTTAGTGACCGTAATCAGAGCTTATTCGTGCGTTACATCCGCCATAGCAACAGAACACGCCGTCGAGCTCGATAAGAATTGATTACACGGTTCCAGGACGTTCTTCACAGAAGGTGATGCAAAATTGGCATACCTCTGGCATTATCGGATTATTTGTTAAGATAAAGCCTCGGTAAACAGATATTTTTCAAACCCACGTTCCTGCGTTTTGAAGAATAAAAACCTAACTGCAGTGCACGAATTGCATCTGCGTTCACCATTGACTCCATTATACGTTACCGACGACACAAAACTTCTGGATATCGACATCGATACGTTAGATCAACTTTATTCGAATGAAGTAAAATGTACTACCGACCATTTACTTCCGCATTAAGAAAACAAGGAGATTTTTTTTCAAATTTGCTAAATTTAGTTCCGATTAACCCTATAGATCTCGTATATCATTTTTTTCTATCCTCTCATTCTTGACACGAGTAGATGTCAACCCCACTTGTTTATCGTTGATAAAATGTTTTGGCAATAAAGGGAAATTCTAGAAGGTATTCACGAAGGTGATTATTGCCAAAACATTTTATCAACGATAAACAAGTGGGGTGGACATCTACTCGTGTCAAGAATGAGAGGATAGAAAAAAATTATATACGAGATCTATAGGGTTAATCGGAACTAAATTTAGCAAATTGGCCTTCATTTAATCTACCTTCCTATCTCCTATAAAAGCAAGATCTCCGCATTACAGCACGACTTCCAATCAAACCGTGTATCGACATAGATCCAAGTTTTGCCATCGGCAAAACTTGGCGGTGCTCGCCCAGTCGTAGGCGTTCTCATAAAAAGACACGCCCCAATCTAGTAGGCGAGCATCGAGCCTTCGTTGCGCACGACCAGATTCTCCGGTACTGCGCGCTGCGGCCGCGGAGCATTCGAGAAACGTCGACGAGTTGCGGCAGGGAGGAACGAGTCGAATCGAGAAGCCGGCCGGCAGAAGCACGCCAGCTACGCGGAGGAGCGGAGGACGAGTCGGAATAGAATTACGCGTCGTCACCAGGAGTCGCCGAGTCAGTCGAAGGTAAAATGGCCTTACTACCGATGCTCTTCTCGAACTGGTGGGAGGACCTCGAGCGGCCTCATCGACTGCTGGACCAAAACTTCGGGCTGGGGATCCACCCGGAGCACATCGTCACCCCGCGAAGCTTGCAGCTCTACGGAGCGCCGTGGCGTTCCGAATTCTCGCGCTGCCCCGTAGCAACAGGCTACGTGCGGCCTTGGAGCGAGCTGCTTCGCCAGGGTGAGGGAGGGTCTTCGATCGTCAAGGCCGACAAGGACAAGTTCCAGGTCAGTCTGGACGTGCAGCAGTTCGCGCCCGAAGAGGTCTCCGTCAAGGTTGTGGACCGCTCCGTCGTCGTCGAGGGTAAGCACGAGGAGAAGCAGGACGAGCACGGCTGGATTTCCCGACAGTTCGTCAGGAAGTACCTCATCCCCGAGCAGTGCGACATCGAGCAGGTCTCCTCCAAGCTTTCCAGCGACGGCGTGCTGTCCATCGTCGTGCCCCGCAAGGACAAGCCGCCGGTGGAGGGTGAGAGGGTTATCAGTATCGAGCACACCGGGCAGCCGGCGCTGCGCGAAAAGGAGACCGAGAAGACCAAGGCCGAGGAGGAGGAGAAGTAGACCCCGGGGTCCGCGGCTGTCGCCATTTTGACTGTCACTTATTCTATGCGTTGACTGAATTGCTAGTAATGGACGGGTTTAATGTCAAGGGCGTAGCGGTAACCATAACGCGAACACGAGCAAACGGTTGAGAACGTATCGTTCTCGATGTGCTCGTTCGTTCGGCCCATAGTGCCTGAAATCGATCGGCTGGAGACTGTCATCGAGCGGATGTCCTTAGTAGTAAATCAGTTAACGTTCTTTGCGTTTTTCTATCGTTCTTCCTGAAGTAGATTGCTGTGTGTATGCCACTTGAATCACGCGTTCCTAGACTGTACGGGCTTTCTTTTTTATACATACTCATGTTTCACGTGTGATATTACTGTATTTTCGTAGCATTGTGTAATAATATAATCACATTATTCAGAAAATTTCCTGGTGTTTTATTCCTATTTATGATAAGTTTTGGTTATGTGCCCGATAGGTGATATAAATGTTTAAAGGTAGTTAACGATCGCATTGTTTTATTTCCATTTTGGGAGAAATGCGAAATATCAATTATTGTTTTGTAAAAAGTATTCAAAGAACTTTACGGTTCAGGATTGGATATATTTATAATAAGAAAAAACTTTAAGAATTGCAAGATGAAGCGTCTGAAACTATAGTCAAATGAGAAATTCCTCACTTCGTGCTAATGTATCTTATAAGAGGTGACAACTCCTAATAGGCTTCACTTTCCTTAAACCCCTTTACATTATGTCGAAATTATATAAATTTGCCATTAGTCTTTGTAGTGGCATCGTATTGTCGAATTGAAGATACGTCGTACGTGACTTTTTAAATTGGATTACGTGACGGCTCGTACGCTCGCGATGATAAAATATAGGTTTTATATTTTCAAAGGTTATACAACATGGATCTCGGATGGTCTTTTCTCCATCATTTTTTATTCAATCATTCCGCGAATTGCCCTATGTAATTAATTGCTGACACGTAACGATCACAAGAACAATACTTTGAAAGATCACTGAATCATGACGTTTAATTATTGTTTGTCGATTTTACACAAAGAGTTTACCTTTCGGAAATTGATTTATTTGTAATAGGTGCTACGCGTCACGAAAACATCCTGTCATTATATGTGACAAAAGGCGGCTTTCTGGATATTATTCGCAGGACTATTAATATTGATTAAAAGTGAGATCAGGTAAATTTGGACTCGGTTTATACATAGCACAAAACTATATAAACCGTTCCTTAATAAACAAGATGTTTGAAAAAATAAACACTTAATTCTGATTAGGATTTTGATAAACTTTGGCTTATATATATTTAACCACACCGTTGGTGATATGATGAAATGCATTTATTAATTTCTCGATAACCTTGAGATCAGTGTCTCGACTTTGGTATTAATAGAAATATGGAAACTTCTTAACGTGCTTAATGTCAACGCACTCTCTGGCAGTAGTCCAATGATTTTCGTCAGAACTTTCATTTTTTACAGGGTTCAAATTCCACAGTATTAAAGATCATTGACCCAAAACATGAAATATATAGTATAAAAATTAATCAGTTTATAAAGGGCAGGATGCATCTAGGTTAGGATTCTGGTTATTTTTTACAAACAAAAATGACTTTCTGTATTAACTTTCGTTAACTTTTGACCACTTTAAAACTGCTTTAAACCCCGCATGAATAATCTCAATGCGCTCATGCAGAGCTGGCTATATTTACATTAAAAATGTCGCGATAATCGATACGTCTTACGGACAACCTACCGTCTGGTGACCATCTCGGCATACATACATTGAATATAGTTCAAAACCCCATCTGGGTTGATACAAATTCATTAAAAAGGCACTCTTGTCAAATTTTTGAATAATCGGTATTAAGTATTTATAAATGAATAAAAAACTAAATAATGGTAAAAATGTTAAATACTGTATGAAGGAAATATTCATAAAGGGACAAAGGCAAAGTGATCGGAAGTCCATGGCGGCCTTATTCCAGGGATCACGGGTGAGAAGACGTGTGCATTATTTAGAAGGCGTGATCATTGCCTAAACATCTGATACGGCTAAACCAAGACTGTTCCTAGGAACAGTGAACAGAAAGGACACAATCTTGGACCACAGAATCGAGCAGTTGGCTCTTATTCGGAATACTCTAGTTTTGAGGCATACACGCATATTTGTCTTATAATAAGCCATCATACCAGGCTGCGAGATCGACGAAATATAGGAAACTGTTAATAGTAGACACATGTATTTAAATTACCTCCTACATGTAGTACTACACGTTTAAATCTTAAAAAAAATTTAGTCTAGTTTGAATTAACACATTGCCATTGGAAATATTTAACATTCAGTGTGTCACTATAGAAATATCGTTTGGCGGACGCTATCAAAATTCGTTACAGGATCATTGAAAACACGTATTACTAAAAGATAAATTTTTTTCACCTTACGTTGCGGTTGCTTTTATTAATTTTTTTTTTAAACTGCTTATTTTTCGAGTGTTTTGAACGGAGGATCGCTTGCTTTCTCAGCTCTAATTCATAAAAAAATCATTAATACCAAAACTGCTTGTCGAATTCACAATCTTTAAATTTGTTATTTAAAAATGAGAACAGTAAAGTAATATATTGCAATTCAACATTTTTTCACTTTGTATCGTCGAAATTTGAAGTATAGAACCCGATGAAAAGATGATAAGATTAATAAACTGTAGAATCTAACATTAGAAATAAGTGGTCGAAACGATGCTCTTTCCCACGAGGTAGAATGATACAAAAAACGTCCGTAACCTCTCACGCCATGTTATATACTGTAAATGTATCCTCGCTTAGGGTAGGGTATTGCCGATATAAGAGCTCGCGTTGCATTATTTAAAAACTGGCTCCGCTTGGCGAGAGGGACGAGCGCGTCTTCGGCCATACAATACATAGTACTCCATTTTCTAACGTACCCTCGCGCGTCGGCGCAGTTTGCCAAGTCAAGCAACGCGAAGCGACAATGACCGAGGCCGCGGAGCGTCGATTCTAGATTGAGCCGTGGCTATGGTCTAGACATGACCTAGACGGTTAAACGCCCCTCCCGGTGTCATTATCCCCTCGCGGGAGCACTGCAGCGAGGGGGCCGGTCGGAGCGGCTGTGCTCAAGGTCGCTCGCGTATTCCGCAACGGCGACGTAAAACGGTGCAGCTCTACGAGGTGCGCGACGCTTCCAGACGATTCTCGGGGTTTCCGCACCTAGAAACCTCCACCGGCCGCCCCTCTCCCGCCGCCGGGTATATATAAGGCAGCGCGGGCACCGCGGCGCAGACTCGATTCAACAAGCGAGGCGATAGCGTTGCGCACTGCGTACGATAAAACCTTCTATTGCAAGGAATATTATCAACAATTATTGAACAGTTCCCTCCGAAGACGAAAACAGCCCAAGCGACTGCACCACGGTTTAAAGTTGACGCATTTTCGTCACGGATTGACGTGCCGGAGCAACGAGCGAGGTGAAGGACAACCCGGAGTTAGGCGAGGTTAGCCAACAACTGGAAAACATGTCACTGGTGCCGCTGCTGTTCTCCGACTGGTGGGAAGACCTGGACCGGCCTCATCGCCTGTTCGACCAGCACTTCGGTCTGCCGCTGAACCCCGAAGACCTCTTCGAGGACGCCGCTCCGAACAGTGCGGAGATTCTGCTTTACCGACCGCAGCGAAGGACGCGGAGGCGTTATCATCCGTTCCTGCAACACAAATCTCTGAGGAGAGGCCGCGGCGCTTCCACCGTGGACGCCCAAAAGGACAAGTTCCAGGTGACCCTGGATGTCCAGCAGTTCTCGCCGGAAGAGGTCACGGTCAAGGTCGTCGACAAGAACGTCGTCATCGAGGGCAAACACGAGGAGAAGGAGGACGAACACGGATGGATATCCAGGCAGTTTGTGAGGAAGTACATGATCCCCGAGCAATGCGACGTCGACAAGGTCGAGTCCAGCCTATCCTCCGATGGAGTTCTCACCGTCACCGCTCCCAGGAAGGAGGCCCTGAAAGGAGACACCGCGGAGAGACCTATCAAAATACAGTACACCGGCCAGCCCGCCGTTACTCATTACAACGGTCACGTGGAGAACGACGAAAGCCATAAGGAGGAGGCGCAGACGCAGCGGGATCAGACGCAACAGAGGACCCAAGGACAACGGGGAAAAAAGGCCGTTAAGACTTAAATTACATCATTTATTTTGTATCGTTCCTACATTCACCCTTAAACGCATCATGTACGTGCACCTTAAATACGCGTTGTCATGTTCCCGTTCTTGTTCGAAGTCGAGTTATAAAGCTAAAGCTTTCAGTACAAAAATTAGTTTGTAAGATTTTTGTACCGTATTTAGAGGTTAATAAACAGTATTGATAAGGTAATCAGGCGTTGACATTTCTATCGCTTATTAGTTTTATTACATGGACAATATTGCATTTCACGGTATTTCTTTCATGCGGTTGATTTCACGTCCCTTACGATGCGCTGAATTTTTTATACCAGATCGTTTTTTGGTAAATATTCTATTCCTGATATGGCGATGTGGGGGAGGGGGATGAAGCTCTTCACAATAGAAATTTAATTACAACTGAGTTTACCTATTTTGAACATTCGAGTAAAATCTTTTCACTGCTTTACGTCGGAGGTACAAATGTTATTTTTGTTTAACCATTAGAATATACGGAATATGCGTATTTCGGAAACATTCTTTTTTCCGGGATTTTGAAACATTTTTTAATTTGAAATTTGAAAATATTTCAAATAATTCTACTGTGTATTTTCTAGTATTAAGGTTAAATTATTTTCGAATTTATTAGATAAAGTTAGACAATTTTTGAGGGACCTCAAAGTCCTCGGCCCAATATTCTGAAAGCTAATACAGCCTTGTTTGGATATTTAAAGCATTTGCAATCGATGAACCGCAATAATTCAGTATATTTTAGGAAAGGTAAAAATACTTTAAGTTCCTTTGCAATGGTCCGTTATCTCCGGTCGACATGTCTTCAGAGGTCACTAAAGTCAATATTGGCAATTCGCCAGGGTCGACGCCAGCTACCGTTCCTATGAATCTTACATCACATGATTCAAAATGAAGAAAAGTGACTTAGGAGCTATTCCTGTCTGCCATCCGAAGGAAAGCATTACATAGGATCTATCTTTTAGAATTTTGAATTTTCTAGAACCTTCTAAAAAAATACAGAGTGAATTGAAATTCGAAAGCGTCCGAAAAAATTCTTTGAAAGAGCGATTATTTAGTTTCTGGGTTCTTGACGCCCACAACCTCGATATATTACCAAAGCATGAAAACGATCGTAACATAGAACGTCCTAGAATCGACCAGAAAATCTCCTAGAACTTTCTGGAACAAAAGCAGCACAGCTCAAGAATCTTCCAGAAGAGATAGAAGGGTTAACTTCCTAGGCCCTTCCAGAACAATCTGGTATGGACTTGTCGAGGCTTCGCACTCCTACAATCGATAAATGTGACGCTTCCTCGAACCTTTATGGCATCTTTTTATTCACTCTCTTCGAAAACCATGGTAATACTAAAAGAAAATTACTTAGTTTCATTAATGTTTACAGGCACACGTAACAGAAATTTACTTTTACTTCTGAAATTATTTGAATTACAGTTTATAATATTCTTAAGGATTTTTGGTAAATATTAATAGAGTCCCTTCCATATTTTCCTAGATGATGTTTCTGTAAATTAACGTTCTGTCTTAGAATTCATTCCTATAAAGGACAGGCGTATTGCCACCTGAACTAGGATCGATAATGTCCAGAATATTCGAGTTTAGCCAGAACCGACGGTACAACGATTTGTAGGGTCACTTTGAGTCGGATGAATACAAATAGTTCTATACGTGTATTACTGCCCTAGATTATACACGATCTAATCAGTCGTTGAACAAGCAGACGACTATCAATGGTTTATGCTGGACGAATGCCTGCAGTTATTATTTCAACTCACTTAATCCGACATTTTTATACATGTACGTGATGCGTAAAAGTGTTTTTTTTTCCAAATATAACAAGTTCTTTAACACGTTGATTGCACGTCACCCATATTCGGGTGTCATAGCAGTCAAATAAAATGCGCGTGGCAGTCAACGTGTTAAAAAGCTCATTGATTGTAATTAAACGCCGTGCAGAATGTGCTTCGATGTGTCTTTTCCGACTAAAATATTGTTGATGTTTAAGTAAGCTAAAAACAAATATTGAAATTATTGCAATGCTCTGTCCCTAAATCCCCCGTTTTAATTACATCGAGAATATGACGCAGAAAGCCTCTGAAATTCAAACTGCCTGTACGGACTGTAGCCCGCGCGCGCGTCAGTAATAGCGTGCCGAAAATACGTAACCCGAGCAACAGCTCGCCATATCAAACCGTCCAGAACGACATAGACCCTACTTAGGAATAAAATTCGTATTTCGGTATAATATAATCCTATCCTTATTACAGTATTATATAAAAATATATTGACACTACAGATTTCAAATTTTAGAAATATCAATTTTGACATTTGTATTATATAAATGTCACCGATAAAAAGGTTCATTTTAACCTGGAAGGAAGGAATCTTTTACATGTGTACGAAACATTATACACGTATTGTAACCAAATTCAGCGAGATTTTTTATTTTAAGTCATTAAGAATATTCTAGCACAGCTTATACACCTTGAACATTCTGAAAATTTATACATTAATATATATAGTTATACATCTACGATTTTCTGGAAACATCTATAACCGTTGGAATACCTACTGTAGAATCTTCTGGCTATGTGTAGAAGATACGATTTCTAGCTTACTTGAAACATTTGTAATGGATAGAAGAAAAACGATAACATTAGTGCAGAAATAATTTGTACACAGTACTTTCCGTCTTATTTATTTGAAATATTACTTTAAACCGACTTTAAATACGCAAGTAGATATTTCGAAATATCTGGTCGTTACGATATTTCCATCACTGTTCCACAATTTCTTGGAAACGATCGAACGAATGTAAATACAAAATATTTTGAAATATACAGGAAACTTCTTGTTACTGGGGGTTTCAGTATTTGACATTAACGGTCTTTTCTTGAAACTTGCAGAAAGTAACTGCATAGATTATAGAAATTTAACAGTTTTATAACTGAATCATAAAACGAATCAGATGTTAATTAATTTTTAATCGGGTGATCTATTTTTTTCTTAATTGTTGTAGAATAATGTAAAATAATGACAGTGGACGTTTCTGGAAACATCGTTGTTCGACGCATCTTGTTGAATCGAGAGCGTTCGACAGGAAAAGCGCGCATGCTTTTGAATTTCGAAGCGTAGATATTCGACAGAATATTCTGGCAGTGCCATTCATCGGTTTACTTGTGAGAAAAGAAGAATCATGATTATTTTGAAATGCTTATGTCAAAAAGGTCCTCAGATCTTTCAGAATTTATACTCTTGAAATATTTGCGTTGAAAGAGTGTAAACGCAGAGTGTCGGTAGTTAAAAGAACAGCCGTCGTTCTATTTGTTGGCGGTAGTTGGCCATTTTACGAATATTCGTGTTATTTAGAGAACGTCGGAAATGGCCGTTCAAGAATTTTGAGGTTAGAAGTGCGCTTGTCATTTTAGGTGCATCTCGAAGGCAGTGTTTTATAAGTCAAAAATGGACGAGCAGCGAATCTTATCGAAGTTTCTGTCAAGTTCGCGAGTAAACAAGGTTAGGAAGATTCTCGACGGCAGGAGGTATTGGCTCGAGTCGGTTGGCCTCTATATAAACGGCGCGGAGCGGACCTGAGCAACAGTTGAGAATAAGCGAGCGCAAGAGTAACGTTGGTTACGAGAGAACCTAATACTGCTTTTATTGTTTCGCTGAAGCGAAATCAAGTGTAAGAGAGGAAGAACATATTCCTGTAAGTTTTTGTTTTGCAAGAGTTGTGAAAAGACTTTTCGAGCAATTTGACAAAGAGTATTAAGTGTACCTTTTTATTTGTTACAGAAATCAGGCATCATGTCTCTGGTACCACTTCTTTTCTCTGACTGGTGGGAGGACTTGGATCGTCCCCATAGATTGCTTGATCAGAATTTTGGCTTGGGTCTCTACCCTGATCAGCTTTTGACTCCAAACATTCTGGAGCAGTATGTCTTCCCTGGAAGAGACCGAAGATACAGAAACCCTTTGACGTACTATCGACCCTGGGGTGACCTTTTGCGCAAGGGTGAAGGAGGTGCCTCCACTGTCAAGGCGGACAAGGACAAGTTCCAGGTCATCTTGGATGTCCAACAGTTCAAACCTGAGGAAATTAATGTTAAGGTCGTCGACAAGAGCGTTGTTGTAGAAGCTAAACACGAGGAGAAACAGGACGAACATGGTTGGATCTCCAGGCAGTTCGTTAGGAGGTACTTGATTCCAGAGCAGTGCGATCTTGAACAAATTACCTCCAACCTTTCTTCGGATGGAGTGTTGAGCATTACCGCCCCAAGAAAGGATACCGCCAAGCAGCAGAACGAGCGGTCGATTAAGATCGAACACACTGGCAAGCCAGCGATCCGGGAAAAGACTGAGAAAGAATCTAAGAAAGAAGAGGAGGGGAAGTGTGAAAAGAAATAGATTATCATGACCAGTATTTTTGCGTTTCTCATTATTCAATTTCATTTGTTATCTTACTTAGTCCTATAGTTGTATGAAATAGTTGATTTTTTTAAATAAATTTATTCTGCACATGAATCAATGTACAGTGTTTAATGGGTTTTTATTCAGTTTTCCTATCCTACTTCCTAGGTTGCCTGTACTCATAAAGTAATTTGATTTGTATTAAGTTAAATAGTATACTTTAATTTTGGTTTAAATTTCTATTTAAGAACATGTTCTTTTTGTAAATCTGATATATATTCTAGATGTGTTTTCAGTTTAACACTGTTGATTTAGGTAGTACTTGAGTATTTAAATTTAAAAGAGACATTAAATGGCATAATGGTCTTAAACGTTCACAAAAGAAGAGTAAAAGAGAGATATTATGTACATTATAACACTGAGAAAAAGATTAGTTGACAGAAACAAATATATATTATTGCATAAATCATATGTATTTGCAAGAAACAATTATTCTATTGAGAAGAAACATTGATGTTGCTTTAAAGCAATTGTCAATTTAAAATAAGTTTGTTTTCCCAATCTGACATTTCTTTAGACGTATTTGATCGCAGGATTCTGTTGTAATGCATATTTCTTTGAGTCAATCAACTTTATTTTGTCAATGTAGTTTGGATTTGATTGATTTATGAATTTAATGTACATGAATTAAATCTATTGAATCCCTTTTGTTGAGATCAAATGTTCAAACATTTCATACGATTATTGAAAGATACATTTAAAAGGATTTGAAGGACAATAATAATAATTTCGTGTGTGATATTCAAGGAGTAGGAAATAATCTGGATTTGCAGCTGACATAGACATTTTGAAACATTAGCTTGCAGCAATCAATATAAAATTTACAGACTCTGCAAATCCTATATACTTCTGTTAATAGATGTTTTACACGTGTATACAAAATCTTTATTTCTTGATTTTTGGAAATTTATGAAATAATCGAGTGCATGTTACACAATATAACGCAATCAATGATCTATCGTCAATTCAGACAATTAAGTTATACTCATTTGTACAATTTTATGAATCTTATTAGTTTAATATTTGTTTCCAGTAAAACGTCAGCCGGGATGGTAGCAAGACAACGCTAATCTCTAATTGCATTTAGTATTAATACAATGAATATTTTAACACAGGAATATGCAAACTTACCAATTAGAGTAATACAATCTGCAACAGAATTTACTCCAGTTATACATATTTCCAAGACTCCATATCTACAAATAGTTTTACTATACATAGTTTGGATATCCCTGTTTTTTTTAATACAAACTGTGTTTAATACAGGCATCTACATTGCTTAAGTAATCTTAAATAAGCGACTGTACTGCAATCAACCAGAACATAAAATATAAATCCCAAAGATGAAAATATTTTATTATAATATATGGAAGCAAAAATAAGAGTTAGGAATATATAAATTCTGTCTTAATATCTCGTCATTCTAGAATTATACATGAAGAAGCGCTGTGAATTGGAAAAATACTGATCTGTTTTTAGTGACATTTTTTAAATTACTCGCTTCTATGTCTGGAAAATGACTTGAAAAGGTGATATGATTAAATCCAAGTTAGCTCGGTTAACTCGAAAATTATATTAATTAATTTTTTGTAGTAGATTCAATTTCATTGTTTTGTAAAAGTATTCACAAGGCAAGCATTTGCCATCTGAAATTGGGCAAGTTAAAATAATCTCGTAAATTACTTATGATTTTTCACCTCGCAAGAGCTAAGTCTAACAAATATGTGACAAGTTCTATAATTCATATAGTATTTTATACATATATAAATATAACATCACATAAGCAGCAGTTAGACACAGGAAATGAAAAATGTTTTTGCCATTACTAAAGACTATTGAATTACACCAATATTAAGAAATATAAAATAAATTCGTAAAATTATCGAAACATATTATTGTATTCTGTAATTTGTAAGAAATTAGATTCCCGTAGGTAAGATAATAAATACTCGTCTCTGTATAGTACACATAAAATAAGCGCGAATTAGGATATGTACCTAACAGTGTTTCATTTTGTTGCTTAGTGGATATATTCATGTTTACAAAACGGATAATGGCGAACAATTTCATCTCCAAAAATATTTAGCTGCTGCTCATCCCTGCATACTGTCCATAACAACTTACAGTTTAATTTTATCATACAGATCCGTACATTACAAATGTTTGTTATGCGCCATAATTTGAGCAGGGTTATAGTTAGGTATAAAAAGCACTCATACGCGAGTTATATAGGAGTAACATCATTACTTATTCGTTGCCTCACAATCAATATCAGTAGTCTGCACAGTCGTAATCCTTAATTACAGTATTACCGTATTCGATCTCATTATATGTTCTGGACGACATTTTAATATGTCTACAGATTTCATGCCATATAAACCCTCTGTGCATAAATCATATCGTGAGGTCTCCTTAGTATCAACTATCTTTTAGGACTTCTTTCAAAATTGACCCACTGTTTCTGGCTGGAACGAAATCCGGAAATGTTGGAAGAGTGACGTTGGACAGCAAAATTGTGGAATGCGTGGATGACGTAGAATGTTGTCGACTGTGGCCAGATCGAGGCAAAGGCTGTGGACATATGCAAACTTACTCGTTAAATTTGTCATATAATTTTGTCTATATCATGTGTAATATTTTTAGAGAAAAATAATGGATCTTGTTGTAATATACTCCGTTTTAAATTCCGCCAATGAGGTTTGCTTCTAAATTTCATATGTTAAGTTAGGAATATTATTTACCGCAGGTGCTAGTGGTAGAGCTGGTACTTGAGATTTTGGTTTCGATTCACTTTCTAGAAATCTAACAAAGGCAGCTGACAGTGAGACTTCTTGATCCTGAAACCATACATTCATTAGAATCTTACTAATTTCAACCTACAGCATATTTTAACCGTGTTTTTATCTGAATTTTCATATTAACACTCAGTTTAAGCAGCAACATGTATTGCTCGTTAAAGACAGTGATGTTAGTTAATTGCTCTTTCAATAAACTTACGTGCACTTTTTCGAGCTGGTAATGAGGCAGGATAACAGAAAATTAATACAAGTTAAGTGAAAGATTGTATAAAATTTCGCTTCTTGTTATTATTTTCAAAAAGACTTCTAGATTATGTTCTACTATCAATGAACCTTCATAATAGAACAGTAGGTATCAATGAATATCCTCAAAAAGATGAAATTTGTTTACCTTAGTTGAAGGTCCTGCACCGCTAAGCAATCCGGAAAACCATCCTGTACCAGAAACGGGACCATTCAACCCGATTTTGTCTCTTTCCGAATCATTGAAATCCAAAACGGTTGCAAAGACTCGAAGGACAGATGATTTATCAGTGGTTGGTGAGCATATGTAACCCAGTAAAAGATTCTTAACGAGAGACCTGAAACCGTTAACAAAAGTAAATACAATAATACGGGAACATGTAATAAGGTTTAATTTGTAAAAGCAATTGCAAGAACATGCACTGTTTCGAAATGGCAAGAAAATAGCATTAATAAGAGAAACGTATAATAATGAACGAACTTATCAACTTTTCCCTCTCCGTTTCGATTGGCCTCTTGTATCCTTTCCTCAGCCGTGTTAACAATCTCTGACAACCTTGCCACTAAAACAATAATAAAGTTAAAATTATCCCGGGAATTAGTTTTTATGGTTCCAAGACGTTATTTTCGATTACTTTTTGCAAATATTAAACCTGACGGTAATTAATATCGCTTTACAATTGCGCCCATTTGGATCAGGTAACGCCAACATAAAATTCTTCGATTCCAATGGGGACACAAATATTATTTATACTTAACATTGGTACAATTAAAATGCACTTCGCATAATTTTTCTAAATGCTGACTTGAGATCATTGCGATTTGTTCAACAGACGTTTTAGGCATACCATGTCATACCAAGTAATTAATGATATCAAAATTCTAGAATTTCAGACGATACGTTCGGACCCTTTTCAGGCAACTATAAAACTATATAAATCATTAAATTTATGACGCAAACTAATGATGGATGCGATAAATCATAGGGATGCACGAGACTTGGTAAAAGATACGAGTAAGGAAATAATCCAAAGTGAAACTCTTACTATCTAGCCAGTGTAGGTTTTGCATAATTTCGTTCCTGTGTCGAAGGTTCGGCAGGCTGGCAGGTCAAAAAGACACGAGCGCAAGTATGACACAAGTACTGGTTGTTACGATACCACACCAGTACCTGATGTAATACTCACACCCATGTCCTAATCGTTCATGCTGCATTCTTCCTTTATCATGCCATTCTAACGAACTAAGGGTTTACTCATGCCGCCAAAAATAACTCCGTGACGATCTAAGTACTATCAATACCTTTAAAACGCTCAAGCTGATACAAATCGTGTGATGCATCACCTGATTTTATTACAAGCCAACCAATTTCAAGGCGATACATAGATGAAAGACCTCAGTTATTGACCCTTCACTTAGAAAAAACATTTAGTCGACATGTTTCTATCTTTTCGGATTATTTTTTGTTTATTATTTATTCAATGTCAATAACTTTAAGTTTCATTCTATTTACAATGGCAATCAGGTGATGCTCAGGTATTGCGGGCAGCATTTGTTAAATAAAAGTGGAAATGCTAAATTAAACCTGTATTTGTAGGGTATGGGTAGCGGGTGGGAAATCCCACGAGGTAATATGAGCCTTTGTAACTTATACGCTCACAGTTACCGCATGAGATTACCCACACTGACACTACCAAGTATTCTTTCGTTTTTGTTTCCTACGCAGAGGTATCGTTCGCCTCGTGTAGAGTTATCTCTAGTATGTAAATATACAGGATAGAATTACAGTATCAAGCTATTTTTCGTTACGCTGTAAACGCCTCGAGGTAATTCTAACCATTTCGATATTTTCTAACAAATGGCTAAATGAATAAAGCGAAAAGTATAATCGAGATCAAAGCGATATATTTCTGAACGGGAATGTAAAAATTAATACCGATTGTATCAATTTTCTTGATATGAAAACTTCTTTTTTTATGTCAAGAAAATGACCGAAACCATTCTGATTATGAATAAAAATAAAAAGATAGGGTCCACTATTTCGGATATTACTCATTGAGCGAATGAAACAATGATTTTAATGTTAAGTAAAGCAATGACCAAATACGTTTTTAATGATTTTAAAAATAATCGTATTAAATCGGGTAACTAAGTAAGGAGTATAATAATGAGGTGCCATTTAAATCATGCACATTACTGAATAATTTAGCAAACACGTAACATCAAATGTAATGTCGATATAACGTATAACATATCTTTCTGCATATTTACACGTATGTATGTATCACGTATATTTATGACTTATATATTGCATTGTTGTACAAAAAAAAATATGTAATGAACGTTATTTTAAGTTGTAATATTTTACTTGAAGGTGTTGAACATTTTACGTACTTTTACATATCGAGCTGACCTTACATAAAATATTACGTGTCTAGTGAACCACCCTGTTATTACGTATAAAATACTCTCGTGACTTCTTGTTTCTTAGGTATTATCGTTACTGTCGTTAAAAATATTATAAAACCGAAATTATATTTTTTACAAGTGCCGAGGTAGTGCACGGGATACCCTTTGAACCATTACGACGCGCCATTGGGTACAGGGGAATGCGAAACTCTTAGGTAAACTATCATTTAATTTGAACAGATTTGCACGTGAAACTATTTGCAGAGGCTGTTTTAAGGTTCTATTTTCAAAAAACGATCGTCTCATGCAGAAGCCGATTTAAATTACGAAGAATCGGTTTCGATGGACGACGACTCAAGGATTATGATGCTAACCTTTGTCTGAACTTTTACACTACTCTGAAGGAACATGTACCATATGCCGTTGTAACGAATGGAAATGAAAAACAAAACCAGCACCAATGGCAATGCATGAGCCAGTCGAGATGCGATTTAGCGTGCAAAGGCGACGGGCCGGTTCGTAGCCGGATACCAGCAAGAATCCTGGGCTACTGTCACAAACCCAGAATTACCAGCTGATATTTGACTACGCCACCAGATTGTGTGAGCGCTTGTTTTTGCAGATTAGTCACAGCTCACAGTCAAACTGATGCTTATAAATAATGTCATTTAATCAACATACTTCCATGATACCGACATTCTTAGAGTTATCTATAAAATAACATAGCGGATAACTTACGGAGAGACCCCGGTGAAAATAACGTTATTTTAATATTTCTCACTTGTACTAACGTGACGTTCAAGGAGTAGGATAATATTAATGCGGTGCATATATAATCTTTATGTGAATTTTTAAATACAAGATTTTTATTTATCCGGTCTCTTTGGAGATATTTGTTAAATTCTCCAAGGTCTTTCCATAAATAACAATTTTTCGCGCAGTTTAAAGTTCCTATCATTCAAAGGCTTACTACTTTTCAACGTTAAATTAGCATATGTATGAGTTAGCAAAGTAGAGTGATCGTATGTACGAATATACATATAAAGGCATGAGCCGATAAATAATGATTCGCATAGCTTTCTTAACGCAATACTAATATACCTGTTTATGTAATAGTTTTCACATTTCCAGGCTGTTACAATATCTAAAGTCGCTTGACCGTGTCCATTACGTACTGGTTATAATAAAAAGGGTAATCGGGAAGCATAACAGAAATTGTGTTTTCATTCGAATCAGAACATTTTTAGTGTGAATTCACGTTGCAACATTGAATTAAGAAATCATGCGAAAGGTGTATATCAAAATGCAGCCAAAAAAGGTGCGTAGTAACTGGTTGCAATTTACCTTCTTGAGTTAAATGCTCGATCCGTTCGTCCTTCTTGTCTAATTGTTCACTAAGTCTGGAGGCTGCTTGTAAGCACTCTTTGGCGTCAGCCAATTGATCCTGTTTAAAGGTATGTAATATAAATAATAATTTGTCAATCTCTGCATTCGATTTCCGCAGTTAATTATGTATATGTGAACGTACCTTCAAGTTCGTGACTTCATTCATCAGTTCTTCCTCTTTTCTATAAGACTCATGAAGTTGATTTCGGATCTTTTCCGTAGCAATTTGTATATCCTTCTCTTTGTCTGCAATACATAATCGTTCAAATATTTTACAACAAAGTAGGAAAAAATATAAAATGGTAAAAGTATTTGAAGAAAGTACCTCTTTGAAACTGTTCCAGTACGAGCTGCAAGTTGGTCAGCGAGGCAGTATGAGACAAGACTTTGTCTTCGGCTACTGCCAATTTACCTTGTATATCATCCCTCTGCTTAACTATCAGAGCCATTTGTTGCTGCAACGTTTCAAGCTGCTGATTCGCTCTGATGCTTGCCGATGTGTAAACGGTTGAGCTATTCTTCGCCCTTTCCTCGGCTTGCGCCAATTTCGCTTCGAGTTGCTTCCGCGTGTCTTCGGCTTGTAAAGCTTCTTCCGTATAACTGGCTTCCATTTCCATCAAGTGAGCTCTAAGTCTTTCCAGTTCTTTTGCCGCGTTCGTCTCTTTACTTTGACTCTCCATCAGTTGACTCTGCATCATCCTATTATTGGATTGTTCTTGAATCAGCGCAGCTTCCAATGCGTTGGCCTTCTCATCCAAAATTCCAAATTTCGCGAGCTGAGCCGCATGCTCCGCGATGTTGCAATACTCTCCATAATTGTTCGACTCTTCGAAGTTCTTCAATCTCTGTCGAACCACTTGCAGCTCATTTTCCGCCCATAGAATCTTAGCTTCCTTCTCTTTGATCAAAGACAAATTTGCTTCGTGTTCGGCCGCTAGTTTATGAAGCGCAATATTCTGTTCGTTTACCGTTTGATTTAATCGTTGAATCTCATTGTGGTATTGCAAGCTTTCGTCATGCTTCGCTTGTATGAGCTTTACGAGTTCGTCCCTTTCGTTCTTAAGAGAGTTAAACAGTTCTACCTCGCCGTTAGGAATGTTACAGGAAAGGGCATTTGATTTTAAGTTTTCTATTTCGTGATCTTTCTCTCTTACGAGTTGCGACAGATTTTCAATTGTCTCTCGGGCCATTACCGAGGACTCTTTGTTGCTTTCCATTAATGTATTCAATTTGTGCTGTTCGTCCGCTATCGAAGTCATCAGTTTACTATTATCAGCTTTTAACATAGAATTCTCCCTCATTTTTTCTTCCAAAACTTCTAAGATTTGTTGCTTCTCGTTATCGGAGATTTTAACCTCCGAAAGAGTTTCCGATTTTTTCTTTTCGGATCGTAAGCCTTCCAATTCAGCTTCCAATTCGCCGCATTTGCTCTCGGCAATTTGCAGTTTTTCTTCAACATTTTTTATGTGCTTCAGCTGTTTCTCGAGTTTGGTACAATTTTCTCTTAGTGTTGCTACTTCTGCTTCTTCAACGCGTAGAGAAGATAATTCCTTTTTCAGTCTCTCACATTCGTCTTCTGCTTCATGATATCTCTTTTTGACAGACTGCAATTCATTTTCTAGTTCAGCATTGGTATTTTTGATTGCTTCGTTCTCAACGTGTAAATCCTGAACATGGGATTTGGAATCGGATAAGTCATGCTTTATTCGGTTGCAGTCATCTTCTGTCAATCTAAGCCTCTCTTCAGTAGATTGCAATGTCTGCTCGAGTTCTACTGCAGCATTAGCGTTCATGCGTAAAGTTTTATTTTCGACTTCTAATTCCCCGATCCGTGATGCGGAGTGAGACAAGTCGGATTCCAATTTCGTTAATTTTTCTTTCGTCTTTTGTAACTTATGTAACGTATTTTGTAACTCGGTTTTATTGTTACTTAATTCTTTTTTCAACTCTTCGTGTTCCTGCTGAAGTAGATCCATTTCTGTTGTCAAGAGTTCCGTCTTCTCCCTGGCTTCGTTCCGACTAATTGTCAGCTGTTCGTACAATGATTCGATTTCTCGAGTTAACGTTTGATTTTCTTGCAACAGTTTATCTGATTCATCAAACGCTTTGTCTAGTTCAGTTCTCATTTTCGCAATATCGTATTCTAGGTCGTTTTTATCACGATTCGCTATTTCCAATTGTTCTCGTAACTCGATAACTTCTTTCGTATCATTTGATTCGTTTAGTGCGATCAACTGAGCTTTCAGACTATCCCTTTCGTGCGTTAGCATTTCTTTTTCCATTTCATGTTTCGATTCTTGCATTTCGGAAAGCATTGTCTCAAGTCTTTTGCCATTTGAAACCGACGATTTCAATTCTCGGCGAACATTGTCAAGATCCAATTTGAGTTCCTCGATTAATTCTATGTTATCGTCCAAGCCCTTGCACTTCTCCATTGACATTCTCAGTTGATCCTGCATCTGCTTCTCCGAATTTTCTAACTGATCGATTTTCTTCCGCAATTCGGTATTTTCCTCCAGCGATACGTGCAGTCGACGACTGAGATCCTCCATGGTGTTTTCATTGCTTTCAACATTTTTCGAAACTCCTTCTAACTGCTGCTTAGCTATATCCAATTGTTGTTTTGTATTCCTCACTTCTGCCTCCAAATTCTCCTGGTTTCTCAGCGAACTCTCCATACTATGTGTACTGGTGATCAGTTCCGTATTTTTTTGGCGCAGGCTAATATTCTCATCCTGAAGACGTTTAATATCTTCGCTCAAAGACTCCGTTTCTGATTCCAAAGAAGCGACTCGTTCTTCGCTCGCTTCCGGTATCGATGGAAGGTTGGTTTTTAAATGCTGAATTTCTAGCAGCAGTGACTCAATATTAGTCTGCATGTCATCGCATTCCAATTGCAAAGCATCCTTTATTTCCGCAGACTGCTTTAATTCTCTAGTGAGTTCGGTAACTTTCCTTTCGAGAACATCCTTTTTCCATTTTTCATCGACGAGACTTTTTGCAATCGCTTCAAAGAACGTTTGATGCGACTCACTTTCCAAGGGATAGTCCTTGAGGATTTCTCTCACCTTTTTGACCACATCGGGGAATCCTATGTTCTCGTTCTCTCTATCTACATCTTTTTGTTCAGTTTGAACATCTGCATGTTTATTGTTGGTTTCTTCAGTCTGTGAGGACTGACTTATCGTCTTTTGCTTCGCAGTTGTATTGTTGGTGGTCTCTTCCAGTTTGGCCTGCAAGGCTTTCACTTTATTCTGAGCCGTGTTGCTCTCCACGTAGAGATCCTCGTACGCTTTCTGAAGGTACTGATGCTTCTTCTGTAATTCCTCTTTTACGGACAGAACTTTCGCTGAAATGAATAAACACAGCGTTAGAAATCGCCGAAGTACTCCTTTCAAAGCCAAAAGCAGATAATGTACACGCCACTGCATGTAGGTCGTATGAACGGATTGTCGCTTATTGCGGTGATAAGGAATACGGTGAAGTAATGCAACGCAATGCATTCTCATTCCGCGGCACACAATACTTCTTAAGAAAAAAGAATGGTTGTTATTACCGACTGTCGTAATGTCTGAAACCGCAGGAATTTTCATGTATAATACACGCGAATGATAATGTTCATAACGTATTCCTTTGTGAACAGTAACGTTCGGTACAGCGAACGCGTATTTATAATATACGGTTTGCATCGACAAAGGAATAAAAAGGCAATATGAGTCTTTACCGAAACAGAGGCTCTAAAACTAGGTAACATTAAACAAATATTATTGAATCCAATCTTGAAGTTTCAGGAATTTAAATTAACGAGCCCTACAATCCGTACAATTTCAGGATTCAATTTACCAATGGACTCTGCGCTCTGTTGATCCAGTTCCTCGATATTGGTGGACAGATTTTTATTTTCTTCCTCAAGTTCAGTGATTTTCCTTTTCAATTCCAGCACTTCCCCTGGATCTGCCACTCCTTCGTTGAAAAAGTTTCCGTCGTAGCTTGGTCTCAAAGGCACGGATTCAAATTTGTCTTCGCTTAGTTTCTCGCCATTTTTCTCACTGTTTGATTTCTGGTGATGGTGGTAGGAGTCCAGTTTTTTAGCTTCCGTTTCAAGAGCCTTAAGAGCTCCTCTTATTAGATCGAGTTGTTCAACAGATCCCAATTTGGAAATCACAGTTTTAAAGTCATTAACTAGAACAGCTTCATCTAATTGGATACGCTTCAGGTTCCTTTCCATTTCACGATTCTAAAATACGATAGTTTGTGTAATTTTTTTCAGACGTGGTAAAATGTACTCGTACTTAATTTTAATATTTCACATAGGTATATCAGACGTTAATTCGAAGATTATGAATAAAATAAAAAATGAAAAATGTATTTTTGCCAAGTGTAGTACTCTTGATCAAATATTTTTATTACCAAATTTAACTTAGTAACCAACCTTTTCACCCATCTGTATTAAATGATTCATCATGTCCTGTTTAGCTCTCAACAGCTCCGTTTTTTGGTGTCCCTCCTGGATTTCATCCATTAAAGAGGTAGAATTCGCCTGAAATTAGTAGAATTATCAACTAGCTTATCAAGTGAATATTAAATCGAATAACGTTAGTATCCCAATCTTGATTCGTACCAAAAGCTTAAGGAAATTGGAAGAATTTATTTACTTACTTTCTGGACGTGTTTCAATTCGGTTTCCAAATTTTGAATCGTCAAGGTGGCTTGTGCCAGCTGATCCTGCAATGAGCGCACTTGGCTTTGATATTTGCTGTCGTGATTTCTAACAGAAACAGGATCCCAAAACATTCCTCCATCTTCCTCGTCGCGACTGACATTATTCTGAAATTAATCAAGAGAAAATTGTTGAGAGTATTTGCATAAAATAAATGTCCATGACCGAATCGTCATAAAGACGTAAATCCATTCTTTTTGCTCAACAACGCGACATAATGTACATATTCTAAAAGATACATTTCCACACGAGACAAATTGACCGCTTAAACGTAAACCGCAGGTTTTGTGGTTAAATTCCGGACGCAGGTAGACGCATTTCTGAAAAGAAACACGAAAAAATCACTCGAAACACGCAAATATTCTGGGTGGCGAGCGTCTCGGGTTACATAAACAGAAAATGCTGACAAACTCGTGGAGAACTCCAGTCAGCGAATATGGTTTTGTTCGCTCGGCATGTAAGTCAAGCGATCCAGGGTTACAAGAAATGAAATGTAAGTAGGACCAGACTGCGTCGATCGAGGATTAAATTTCGAAGAATAATTCCGAAAGCGTTCTTTCGGATAACCCGAAGAACAAAAGGTAAAACCCGAGTGAATTCGTCATTAGCGCAGGGTCTTCGAAAGGCCACATGCATCGTATGATTGGTGGTTGAACGTTGTTATTCCCGTTTATATAAGAATCTCATGTAGCGAACAATGTACACGGTGCTCCGCCTTCGCGTAAAAGGTACCAAAGGAGAAAAGAAAAGAACTCTTATGCAATACGAATGATAACTCCTCGGTAACCCGTCAAAATGACGAGCGAAAATACACATTTCAAACGAACGATGTCGAGACCTTCGGCATCAAGAGCGATCGATTAAAAGAGAGGTCCTACAATCCACATCATCCGTATAATTCACTGGATGTGATAAAATCGTATACGCCGCAAACGATATAATAAAAACTGACATTTCCCGTAAAACGACCTCCAAGGTTGCACAAGAAATTTTATATGTTATATAACGTCGGGAAAGGTAAAAAAATGTAATTTACTTTATATTACAGAATTAATACCGAATGCATGGGATTTATTGAAAGCATGGGATGTAGAATTCCCTTGTATCCAATTATTGTTACGGGATCAATAAATCATGCATAAGTCGGCATGGGTCATTATCTCGCCCGAATAAATTTCCTTCTCGCGTATAATTTTCCCTTTCTCGACGACTCTCGGTGCTAGGTAATCGAAAGAAATATCGGCCGGTCGATCTTTTCTCAACTCTGCCACTATCGGGAGATTGAATCTCCTCAGTGTCCCTCGGGTGTGTACGCAACCGACAACCGGTTGCACCGATGCACTCGCATAATGAGGGGCCCCGTCGATTTTCGAAATGCTAATGGGTCCGGCTCTGTTTCTTTCTCGAATTCGGAGGAAGTTTTAGGTCACGCCCTGGCCGATCGGGGGTTCGTGATTAACATTTGGGCGCTGTCGCGTGATCCCTGGGTCGATCTTTGCCGATAAAAGAATCGTAGATCCTGCTCACGCTTTAACGAAAGGAGAATATGCGTTATGCAAAACCCCTCTTGACACCAAACCCGGCAACCAGCTGCACGAGAAAACTCTGTTAAGTACAGGCATTTTTAAACATTTCTGAGTGAACAAGAGGATGAACGGTCAATAACGCTTAAAAGGGCAGCTTGAAGTTTCTGATTTTTCGGTATTATAAATTTACTTAAGAATAATATTGGGATGTAATAGGAAAGTTGCTGACTGGGGGTAAGGGTGATTAAATCTAATCGAAATAAGTAGTAGTATAAATGCTCGTGCTTGCCGTTCAAGTTGTCTAATTCTATTTCAGAATGCATAAATCTCCGCCAGTAGAGTAGCCCGAGGTTTCACGCGCCGTACGTAGATGCACCACATGTAACATGGCTGTGTTGTGCGGAATGTGAAAAACCGGATGTGGCTCTAAATGCACCTCATGAAGGGTTGGAAAACTAAATTAACGTCATTAAGAGCATATACGTACATATTTTCAAAATCGACCCCACTCTTCATACAGACTAGAATATCTAAGTAAGAAATTCACACATGTATTGGGCTGATTCATAAATGTTCGCATTTTTACCGGTACCGGATCTGGGGTGAAAAGTGCGGATAATTATGAATCAACCCGATATTTTCACTGAACGCAATCATCCATATCAGCCGATTCTGCAAGCGGCTGATGCAAAGACTAACACGATATGTTATACATATTCCCTTTGACGAAGAACAAGTGTATTCATCAGGGTGGGAGTTAAAGGTGTCGCAATGCTATCAACGAGGTTATCACGACGTATCAATGTTAAGATCAGAAAAGTATTCTTTAATAATGGGTTCTTGATAAGGTTCTACTGATCAGGTTCGGTTGATTAGGGCCATGTCAGCTCTTCGTCGAGTTATCCCGCGACCTCTTGTCGAGATGAAAATTTAATCCTACTTAGAACCTCTAATTAGGAAATACGTTTAGGATAACGAAATAAGATAATGAACGGTGACTTTTATACAATCGAGGTCCTACTTTAAACCATAAAAGTCGCAGATATTTCCATTTCTCCTACTTAAAAATCTAAAATGGGATTTAATTCACATACGGTATACTATAGCGAGTCGAAATTTTAACCCTACTTTGATCTGCGTAACGTAGGTAATTAAACGATTTAATTTTAGATTTATATCACTCTTTAAGTGCTGCTTCCGGCCCACAAGTAGAGGAAATGGAAATATTTGCCACTTTTAAGGTCTACAGTAGGTCTTCGATGGTCCCTTCTATATATCACCTCAAAACTTATTAAAGCCTACAATTAAAGATTCCAAATACGACGAAAAGTTCAACTCGTTGTACAAAATCAAAAGTAGGACTTAAAGAGTGATATAAAACCAAAAGAGTTAAATTATGCGGATTCAAAGGTGGTCGAAAATTTCGATTCAAATATTCCTTTTTCAGGGTGCGGACGCATCAACCACCGGAGCGATAAATAATATCGCGACTCTTAGAACGATCATTGTCGATAAACGAATCGCAGCCCTCGATCGGGTCTTAACCCTTTGAGCCCTTTTAGCCGACGGCTTCCTGGAGTTGGTTATGTTGCTTATGCGTTATGTAAGGCCTGGCTGGCTGGAAGCGCGCTATCGGTCGGGTGAGAGCGTTGCATTCGTGTGCACATAGGCACATGTAGGTACGTATGCACACAGGGGCACATCCGTGCGGACGTAAGCTCGCACTCGCATATTCGTGTGCACGCACTCACGCGTCTCGTGCATTCGTGCGCGAGTCGTGTGTGCGTGCGTGCGTGCGCGCGCGATGGGCTCGCGCTTCCGTGTGCACGCGGTCCGCACCGTGGTCCAAAGCAGCGATGCCAATGAATATGAAAGGGGGTTTCGTTGGGTCAGGTTAAGGAATAATGCGTCGTTTGACTTGCAAACGGACCTAAGCGACAAAAGACCGGCGACTGTTCGTTTACCTCGGCGTCCCTGCCACCGATTTACAGACGGGAGATCTTGGAAAAATTCACTCGGCGACTTGAAAAATAGAGGCGAGTTCTTATGGAAAGTCGACCGGGGCTTGAGAGCTGCGCTTAAAAGGCAGTCGATGAATAAAACACACCTGGAATGTAGAACAGGAAAGAAATAGAATTTAAAACGCCGAATCAGGAGAGATCCTCGGAGCGAATTAAGATTATGGGCCTTCTTAGAAATTAGGACACCCTGTGAGGCGACCCGCAGGGGGTCACCGACGACTCTTATCGGCCAAGTTTGGCAGCCGCTATCGGACGATAAGGCCTTCGAGGTGGGTTCTAAAACCGCACTCCAATCCAGGCAACGCGAGAACTCTCGGGGAACTTTGTCGGAAATCATATTTCATATTGTCACGTGGAACTTTCGGTCTCGCAGGACGCGTTTAAGTGCTCCTCCACGAATTCACGACTTGATTATTTCTTTTCGACTCAGCGAATATACCGCTCCGCGATAAGTCGCGCATGTGATAACTCCCCTGCTAATCGGGACTTGTACTGCCTTTCGTAATTTCTACGGCAAGTCGGGTGGCTACCTGTACTCGGGAGATATTAGGTCAGTTTTCAGCTAGGTCTTACGATGAATTTTGCGTTCCGTCAATAGCTTCTTAAGGTGAGAATAAATGTGACATCTGCGGAGTCAATCGTTTACAAAACTCTTCTGCGAACTGAGCGTACCGAATCGTTTGAAATTTTACCACGTGGGGTGGAAACCCTAAGAAAGGTCCTGGCAGAATAAAATTTCATTTTTTATAAAAAAGCATCAAAATGTTTAGAAACAAATTAAAAAAAAAATTGAAATTTCATAGGTGTCAGGACCTTACTTAGATAGCCTCTACATTCATGTGGTAAAATGTCAAGCGATGCGGTACACCCAGTTTCGAGAACAGTTTTATAAACGAGACCTCTTAGACGCCACTTTCATATCATCTTAATATCGCAGCTAATTTATTGCAATTAAAGTTACGAATTTTTCACAATGTTTACCACTTGTCCGTGCATTCGTAACAATAATTGTCTCCTATCTTCTTTTAAGAGCACGTAAATTGAATTATAAATAAAATCTGTCTCGTAATCAAGATTTTATTGTAAAATCGAGATAAGTGCGTAATGTCTATACCTTGTTTATAGTGAGGAGAAAAAGTTTAGCGTTGGATAAGTTCTTTGATGGTTAAACGTTGCAAACATAGACACTTAAGAGGAATGGAATCCATTTTAATCAATCACTGTGGACGGTCACGGATGCGATAAATGCCGATTGAAGGTGTAATTAAACCCTGTTCGATGACGCGTGATGTCTTTTCTATGTCCGCGTTAGAAGATTGTCGACTTGAAACATTTTTTCCCGTCAATTTATTCTGGGTGTCACCGCATCGTGCTCACGTATGACCAGCATGGCGCGGTACCATTGCGTTACAGGTAATACAGTGGTGATAGCGAACGTGGGAAAGGAAGTCACTATCGGACTCGGACGAGCATAGGTTGTCACGAGGCAGAAAACTGTCGCAAAGTCATGAAAGAGGAAAAAAATACGTTCCCTAGGAATTCTAAACAAGGGCCACTTAC